CGCCCCCCGGCCTCCGAGCCCCGCTGCAAAACCGCCCTAGAACTGGCAAACCAGACCCCGGAGATGCCAGGTAGAAAGCCCACCCTTGTCTCCCCCCCTTCCTCCCCAGCAGGCTGCGGCAGGAAAGATTTCAGAAAAAAATGCATGCGCTGAACTGAAGAGGGATGAAGGATGCGGGTGGAGAAACCGCATTTTATTCTTGTACCGGAGCCATCCTCGCCCCGCGCGTCACTTTTGGAGGCGCTGATACACGCCCGTAGTGGAAGGCAGACAAACTATAGAAAGGCAGAAAGGAGAGAAGATGTAGGCAAGGCAGAAGAGAGAGCGGCTTGTTCGCGTCTTTTAGCAAAGGAGCCAAAAACGCAGCCGGAGCTTCCTTATCCCAAGCCCAGCTCTATTTCTTAGGGTAGTGGTTTGCAACCTTTGCTGGCCTGCAGCCAGCTAACACACGCCCGGCAGCACTGCACTTGGCTCTTCCCAGAGATATCAGATCTCCCCGAGGGCAACTTGTTGCCCTTGGGTGATGGCTTAGGGATTACCGTGCTGCACGCCCACACCATGTTACCCATCTAGCACAACACGTAACAGATCCCTGTAGCCTGACGTAAACCACGGCAAGTTTATATATCATAAGGAAGACGACAATGAAAGACAACATTGTGTTATTCTATTTGTGGAAATTACACCGTCTTGTCTTCAAACAAATTTTGAGATGGCTTTTCTTAGACAAGATAATTGGCTGAAATCAATTCACTATAGCCGTAAACACGCACATTTGGATAACGTTATAAAGGCTTCATTTAAAAGAAAGAAAAAAAAAACCTGAGCGAAGGTTGATTGCTCCACATCATTATCTGCAATTCAGCTCTATTACTAGTAAATTATTAACTATATGAAGCTAACTTTGTTTAAGTCTGACTGGTCAAAACAAAGGCATTACTATGAAAGCATACAAGCTCTACGTAGGCCAAAATTACAGCAAACTCTCTGCATTGTCTAGAGCAAGGAAGGAAGTCAGCAGGTAATAACACCGCAGTACTAACACAGCCTCTGCTGCTTCCCCCGACTCCACAAGCTCCCTCACCTTACAGTGCCTGGGGTTTCCACGTGTCCCCAGTTCTACCACGGCCAACTGCTAAGATCTGAAACATGTGTGCTGCTCTCTGTCCTGCTTCTCTGGAGAAACCAATGTAACATTTACAGCACCAGAAATCCATGCTCCACATCCCTCTGTCCATCCCAAATACTGGAATCTCAGGATTTTCCAGGTATTTTGGCCTTACATTCTGCAATCTCAGCAGAATTGCAGAAGTACAAGACACACATACAAACAACCCCAGCCTCCTTCCTGCCTGGATGTTTATAAACTGCAAAATAGGTTTGCTTGAGAATTGCCATCAAGATCCATTTCAGCCACCTTCTCATCTTATGTAAGCCCGTTATTCATTCCTAGTTTCCAATATCCTTTGATTGCATCTTAAAGCTGAAGCTTCTTACATGTTGACATTACACAAACAGGCAGATGTTAATTCAGACTACAAGTTTATTTTGGTGTATTTATCCAGCAGCTCATAACTGTGATTCATTTTCTTCCAAATCTGTGCAAGGAATATGTGTTATATTTATACTCCATTAAATAGGAGATTTATGGCCAGGAAGAGCCACAGTGTTCAAAAAAGTCAAGATTTTTTACCAGGGCAGTACCTTCTGCGTTTAACATGCCGTTAGCTGGCAGCAACGTGGGACCAGAGTCTATGCACGGTCTGTCAAGAACTGCAATGCAGGAGATGCAGAGCAGACACAGGGACACAAAGATGGCTTTAATATTCCTCTACGCCACCAGGTCCAAGTTACTAAGTCCTTCCCTTCACCCCCATGGTATTGCCACCCAGCAACCCTGTAGCTTCATCCCTCTGTACATCTTGGCCTGAATGTCATACAGCTGAACATGGGGAATGCTTCCCACAAGTCAAGGACTTATAAAAAAGTCCTACATCCTGCTGGACCTACAGGGCATGGGGCCTTACCTATGGTTAGAGCGTGACACTCATTTTTTTAAGCAACATGTTATTATAGCATGAAAGGGTAGCAGAAGTACCCATGAACAGACCCTGGTTTTGTAGTCATTCCCTTTACAGCATGGTGCTGATTATATGCTCAGCTTTACAGCTCACCCACCTAACACCCCCTTAAAATTCGTAGTAAATAACATTGTCCAAGTTAGCGCCACGTACGCTACCCTCCTCATGCCTCCCAAGCAAAGCCCTCTCCGCCACGGCCTCAGCTAGAATGCCTTTTGTTTACAATTTCACCAGCTGAAAGACTCTTTTGAGAACAAAAAAAAAAAAGAGGGGAAAGAAAGAAAGCTGAAGAGGCCACTATGAGGATCTAATCTATGGCTAAGACCACCCCTTGACTGGCAGCCTGCATTGCCATCAGCTGTATGCATCATGAACGCATTCGGGTTTAGATCAGCTGTCTGTGCCTTGTCCCTCATTAACATTGATAAAAGCGATGGCCTCTGCCGGGCGCGCGTCATTCCTCAGCATACCAGCTGCAGCTCTATCTTAATGCATCCTATGGGCTTGGAGAATTAATTAGTTCTGATAGTCACCATGTTTCAAAATGATGGCTGTCATAACCCTGCAGATAAAATTACACACCCCTAAAATTTTCCACATTGCCCATTCAGACTCTCCATAGGCCACCGTTGGCTTCCTCAGATGTATGGCACTGGAAAGATTTAACTTGCCAAACCATTTTTTTTTAATCTCTTTGTTACGTTCCAATTAAGTCTGTGCTAATCAAAGGCAGTATTTCCCAAATATTCCCCCCCCTCCCTTTCCCCTCCTAGGGGACTTGATGGTTTATGCCCCCCTTCCTCCCACCTACAATTAGCATTCAGACGTTTCTCTTGGCAGAGCCAAAGCCTCCCTCCCCCTAGGAAGCTTTCTTCTGAGCACATTTTATCTTTTCCTACCCCTCTGCAAGGTGCTTTAGCCAGTTTCCAAACAAAGAGCAAAGTGACTTTCCTCAGACATGTGGAGCCTCAAACCGTATTCAAACACCCCTGGGACAGTTTTCCTGCTGTGACCAGCTCTAAAACAGAAGCCACATACAGTAAAAAACAGTAATTCATTTATTTTCTGCTGCTTACTTTCAAATTACTAAGTAAGAATATTAAATTTAGCTCAAGACTGCCCTCACCCTTGACACTCTCTAAGACCTCACTCCCTGGGAGAGGAGCTGAGCTGCAAGTAGGGTGGGACGTACCAGAAAAGCAGTACCAGCTTTTATTACACAGAGCTCATGAATGTTCAGGCTGCAATGAGTGCTCTGCTTCAAAATGGTCATATTTCTTTTTTATTTCTTCCTCTAAAATGATGCTTTTGTCATATGATTGTTTGTGAAATGGCTGAGCTTTGTATGAGTCTCTGAGAGCTCATCATATGCTGTTCAGCCACCTCTGGTTGGGAGCGCTTCATGTTCAGAAAGTTCAGGGGAACGATACACAATGCGAGTCATGCGGTCAATAATCAATTAAAAATTTTTTAAAATGCAAGAAATTATGTGGTTGTCAGAACTGTGTAGAGGAAGGTGAGTGCTGCAGCCATCATGTCTGTATCTCCACTGGTTTTTATTCACTTTTAAACTGACCTCATGCGCCAGATGCCTGGCTCTGAGAAAGAACTACTAGCTCATTGTAATGCTGAAATAAGTTGCAGCACAAAACATTGTTTTCAAAAACACCTACATAAATGAACCATCGCATTTTTTCTGGTTGGTTGGCATTTTCAGCACAGAAATAGAAGGAGCAACTTGGAGAGAGGCAGTAGGTGGTTGCAGAAAGTAAAAAGGCAACCAGCTCACATCTACTTAAAGTAGGAGCATCCAGCCCGGGAATGCAATAGCAGAGCGGAGGAAGGCTGTGACACACACGAGTGTACGCCACAGCACATGGTATTTGCAGTATTACAGCACACACAATGGCTCTTATCAATCTTTTTCACCGGGCTGCTTGCAACCTGGAATTTTTCAGAGGTACAAGGGTGACTAGCAGCTGAGACAGGGAGCATCTGAGTGGTCGGGATATCCCCGGGGAGTCTTGGCTGGGCTCCTCCATGTCAAATCGATCCCAGCTTTCAGGTGCATCCGTGCCCACAGGCACTGTCACTCCCACATTCCTTGCTCTCACTTCCCTCACCTGTATCAACATTATTTTAAAAAATCCAGAGGGACCAACTCCACAGACACGTTTGTATATTTTGATATTTGTTGCCTAAGGCTTCCAAAATTTTCACCTTCTTGTAGGAACCAAAGAGATTCAAGACCTCTCCACCACTCCAGCTGGTCACAGAAAGAGGCACAGCACAAAGCTAAAACAAAATATCCTGCTAAAGCCAGGAAGAAGTACGAGTAGGAAATTCAAGAGCACAAAGGCCTCAGCTGAGCTGCATGAGCAGCGAGGCAATGAGAATGTTTTAGCTTGCCACCACAACCTTGGAGGAGGACAGCCCCAGAAATACATGGGCTGGATGGCCAGGACAGGATACAAACACATCAAGGGCAGGAGCTGGAGGAGGGCCAAGACAAAAGTCGGCGGCGATGCGCAGGGTAACACGCCGACGGGTGAAATCCCCACTGGGGATCCCAGAGGTGTGCGGACCCCTCGGCACTCTGTGGCCCTGGCACCAGCAGGGGAAGGGGAGGAAGGATGCGGGTCCCAGCTTCCAGAGACCACCACCATCATGTTTCTAAAAGCAAAAGGTGAAACCCAGCAGACGGGGCTTCCTGCCCATGCTGAGTGCATGCCAGCACCCAACCCCGGCATGGACAGCAGTGCTGGAGCCGGTGGCTGCCCGGTACCGCGGGCACTGGCCAGGCCACCGTGGCAGCCTCCTCCCGAGCGAGGCAGGACGCTAGCTCCCCGGCCGGCTGGCAGGTACACTGCCATCAGCAGTGGTGCCGCATGCACAGGCCGTTTTGGGTGTTGGAGTGCCGCCTTCCCACCCCTCCGAGTCCCCAGGGAGCCCCGTCCTGCGTGCCAGGTGATGTATTAGCCTGTACTCCTGCTCAGAGCGGGGCAGGAGCTGGCCAGGCAGAGGTACAGTCAGGGCCCGGCACAGTCTGTATTTAATCCCTGCGAACAAGGAAAATCCCCATCACCAACACAAGGAAAGCGTGACAGGTCCCTCTGGAGCAGGGAAAGCGGTCGTCACAGGGGCTAGCGGGGAGACCGCGCTCCGACGTGAAGGGAGAGGAAGGAAAGGGAAAAAGGGTTTACTTCACACAAATGCCTATACGGGAGGTAAAAGCAGATAACAAGAGAGCTGATGTGTGTTGTTTTTTATCTCGATCTACAGGACAGGAAAGGGATGTGCTTGATTTACAGCTCCTTTCACCACTGCGCTGTCTGAAGTGGCAACAGGCAAGAAACCCTGCTGACCTCAAGCTGCTGCAGACGCTGTCGGCTCCTGCCATGACACATGCAGGGACCAGGCAAACGTGTTTTGCCCAGGTAGCGCAGACCCTGCCCAGACAGCCACCCTGCTCACGCTCCGAGAAGGCGCAGCTGCAGAAGAGGGAGGATAAGTTTTACTCCCAAACATCCCACGGAGGACGGGATGCGGCTGTGTCATCACAGGGGAGAGAAGATCCTCCAGGATTCTTCTCTTTTGGAGAAAAACCTGAGCCATTCCTTTCTCCAGGCCAGATTGTACATTGTATGCAAAACCGAAGTAATGTGAAAGGCCTTGACCTCAGAAAAGAGAAACGGCACTTCTCAGGGCCGTACGTACCGTCAGCATGTACGTCGCGACCCCTGGCTGCTATCTTGTCTGCATAAACAAGACGTGATTTGCTTTCCTCATTGTATAGCAGAAAGGAACAGGATCTGATGAGCGCACAGGAAACATCTTGCCCTGCCATCTTCTACCAGCAGTTTTTCAGTATTCAGTTAGAGCATAAAACAAAAGTATTTGTGTATTATATATGTATCACCACTGAGTTCTTTAGAAAAACAATATGGAGTTCAAGATAATAGGTTACATCTGCACCAAGCATTAACATTTGTGGTCTAAAGGTGAATGCAGCATCTACCCATGACTACAAATAGGAATCTGGGAGAAAGCACTATGTTTACAGCACTGTACTTCTGTGGATTCTTCAGTCAAAAACATAACATAGTTTTAAAACGCAACTTTGTACTAAGACATGCTTACGGATTGCCTTCAAATGATTGAAAAATTATAGTGTCAGGGGCACAAAGGAAAGCTGGCAAACTGGCGGCAGCCAAATTATTAGCTATTTAAGAAACGGGAGAGGCTGCCCTTTCAAGACCGACCAGAGCAGCAGCAAAGAGCAGCACTAGAAAAGAGCTGAAGAACTCCGAGAAGAAAGAGAAACAATTTTGATTTGGGCAACTCAAAATGTCTGTCTTCTCATCCCTCCTAACCATATGCAAGTAACATAGCTGAGTTCCAGGAAACCAGTGAAAACAATTTAACAAAAAAAGCAACAAGAAGAAAAAAAAAAAAAATCCCCTTTTCATCCAGCTAACCAAAGCTGGAAGATGTTCTTTGGGCCTCCTGAGATAAAGTCGGTAGTATTTCTCCCAGGACCACATTCAGGGGACCTACCCTTGCATTATTAGTGCTGATAAGCCAACTTCCAGAGATCCTTTGCTCTGCCTTAGATCAGTTGAACGTTAGTTGTAACGATAACAGGCACAGCAGTTACTCCAGTCCCCTGTCCATGCCCACCTAAAACATGAAAACATCTTCTGTCATAACAGTTCAGTGTCCTTGGTTTTGTACTGTCAACAGCTTCAGAGAGAGGGACACATGAACAGAGCCCTGTCAGGATATCCTGTCATTCAGTGAGGAAGGGTTTATTCAGCTTCGCAGTGAAAACTTTCAGCAAATACCCTGCGTTTTGGAATTTTTCCTGCCTGCAGGCAAGTTTCGCATGCCGTATCCTTCACTCATTTTCCTTCAGGAAGACAAGAGTCCTGTTAAACTATTTGCCTAAGAATGCAGAAGAAATAGCACCTCTAACAAACGATCACTTTATGTCGGAATTTTAGTTCTCGTGTCTGGAGGGCTCTGAAGGAAAAAAACCAAATTCTTCACAATGGAAAAAAATCCAATTGTTTTATTCTTTTTGGCTTTTTTGGCTGCAGTGAAACTGTGTTTGACATCACAAGTCCTAGGTGAGGTAAGAAGCAGCTTTTTATTTAAGTGATGAATTACTATATGTCTGTATTACACTATACGGGTGGGGTTTGTTTCACTGTTATAGAGAAAGTAGTTATCAGATACTGTATCTTATAGAAGAAAAATCCACTTTAACAGTCATTGATGCATATGACACTGAATTATAAACTAAAAGCTCTGTAATTCAGTCTTCTGAAATAACAGAAATGCATCTGTTTATTCCACATGAGAATTTGGCTAAAAGGATATGTCATGAGTACACTGAAAAAGTCTCTAAAAAATGGCAAACGTGACAGAAGACTGTGGCTGACACATTCATCAAAAACAACAACAGAAAACCGTTAGAATTTCTGATCAGTCAGAAGATGAAAGCAGAAATTTTTCCATAGTGAAAACTATCCACTTTACTAACCACAAGGAGGAAAAGCTATTTCAGATAGGTGGGGAAAAAATTCTAAGGAATTTAGCTATTGGAAGTAATTGTACAAAGTTATAAATTTAAGTAAAAGATTTGTAAACTTTTGAGGAAGTGGTGCATTTGTCATTACATATCCTATGGATCTGTGGAATTTCACAAAATCTGTTTTCACCACCCTCATAGAGAGGCAGAAAGTGTTGGGTTACAAACGTGAACCAGGAGTTCAACAGCAAGACATTCACTCATTTAAACTACATCTCAACATGAGGCTTTAAATTACTGCGTTCTGGAGAAAAAACCCTTGTAGAAGAGGAAACAAAGGACAGGGAGAAATTGGGGGTGAGGGGGAAAGGGAAGCCACTCAGGCTGGGTTTTTGTTGTTTGTTTGGTTGGGTTTTTTAAATGAAAAAATACTTTGAAAAGTACAAACAAGTACTGGGAAACCTGTTAAACTTATTCTGTCTCGAAACTTATTCTGTCTCTAAAGAACAGCCACTAACAAATCACCTTTCTTCCATTTTCCCTAATAGCAAAAAGGGAAAATGAGGAAATGGATGAAAGTGGAAACAACCCCACCATTCTAAAATAAAGAGTTTTTTATAGCTGGTAGTATAGGGAAAGGGTATAACCTATTTTCATTTAGATTTTACCTTTACAAAATCTCATTGAATTATCTTGTTCCAAAAACGAAATTTTGTGAGGTGCCTCACTTCTGCAGTGAGATCATTTCAGCTACTCCTACCAACAGCTTTTTCATTTCTGAACCTTAATATCCTACAAGCCCAGGGGTTTATCCAAACTCTTAATGGCTTACCCCGAGCACCTGCAAGGAGCAGGGCTTAAGTAGCATACTTGGTTAAAGACCCAAAAATCAGCCAACACGCTGAGTTTATGATTCTTCAACATTAACAGTACTGAATTGACTCAGTGGAAATGCTCATAGGAGTTAAGGTGCCCGGACCGCGCGTTTGTGCTGTGTTGGTTCTTGCTCTGGTGCATGCAGAGTCTCTCGTTAAGGATGGTCCGTTAAGGTGGCTGCACTGGTGCTGAGCACCAGGGTTTTGAAAGGCTTGAAGCATTCAAGCTCCCTCTTGTTGGTGCCTCACGAGGTGGTTTTGGATGGGAAGCAAGGTGCAGAGATGCTCTGGTTTGAGTTTGTGGAAGCCACCTCAGACTTGAAGCCCAAAGAGACGGGCCAGTCCAGTGCCCCACCAGCACCAGGCTCTGCCGAGAGGGCAGGGAGGCTGCTCAGTCCTCCTAGCATGGCACTGCTCACCACTGCTTTCCCAAGTGTCTGATCAAGCTGTATCCACATTATACCCACATCTGGAAAAAGGTCTCATTTTTATTTCAAAGATGCCTGAAATGCATCTACGCAACACTAAGAGGTTTCACTACCCAAATACTTGAATGTTACCCAAATCAGATTTCAACAGTACATTTATAAAGACTAAAATTTGACAACTAAATAGGTGTCGAAATGTACTTATAACTGGGTGACGACTATCAAGTGGAGTCCCTCAGAGCTCATGCAACTTAATCTCCTCATCAATGTCTGTGATACATCCTCACAATCTTCACTATGAAATGTGCTGATATCACAAACATTGGAGGATGGATACCTAACAAGGGGAGAAACCACTGGGATGAGGGCTTCATCCAGAACTACCAGGCTGTGGCACATGTAGAAATCCTGCCCAAGGTGCCAGTCTACCTGCCCAGGTCAACCATGAGCTTCTGCAAAGAGGCTGCAGCATCCCACATGTGCCCAGAAGGTTCAGTACTGCCTGGACAGCACAGGGTTGCATATGCACATATGTTGTTTGGGAATCCCTGGGCAGAAATACCAGCGGATATCCATCACGCAACACATAACAGCACTGCGACGGGCTCCATCCATGGAAGTGGTGGTTTGGAATACACCCTGCATAGCAAATGACCTGAAGCTCCTGCTGTGATGCTGCTGCTCAAAGGGTTAATGGTCGATTTGCCAAGGCAGGGGACAGAGAAGACCTTGCAGGGGAGTGGTGCAGGTCCCATTCATGTGCACAGGAATTGCCCAGACAGGCTGGGTCTGATGCTCCCCGTCCAGGAGGTCTATTGGCAAATTGGGCAGGCTCCAGAGGAGAGCTGGGGGATGACTCAAGAACTGGGAAACAGGAGTCATAGCAGGGAATTCAAGAAATGCTATTTATTTAGGTGCACAACAAAAATGTGCTTTGATCTCAATCTGTAAGTATTCATAGGAAGGGAGTAGTAAACTCTGTAACAGAACAGATTCCTACCTGTCGTCCAAGCTACGGAAGAGCAATGGCTGGACTGAAGCAAAACCATCACAGACAAATTAGGACAGAAGCAACATAGCACGGTTTGTTTCTCCACAACTGATCATTTCCAAATCAAATGAATGCTTTCTAAAAGATCTTCTTGTTCATACTAAATTTCATGCAAGAAGCTCCATTATCCAGCATTATGCTCCTCTGGTATAATTGTTGTTCTGGCTTTATAATCTGGGAAACTACTTAAAAGGTCCACAGACAATTATTATCATATATAAATATTTTCAAATGGATGATGCTGCTAGAACTGGCACCTGCATACATACACACATGCATGCATGCATACACACAGTGGGCAGGTACAGTTTTTCAAGATAAACAGTAAGCATTTCCTCACGTTGGCCTGGCAATGATTCAGACATTGCCTTAATTGACTACTCGACTGCTTAATTGAAATCCCATTCAGAGAGTTCATTTCAATTCTATTGTGTCAGATAGGAAGTCTCTCAAGGTCAATATTTCTTGAGTGAGTTAAGACCACCTAAATGGGTCCCTACTTAGAGAACAGTGGATAAATGGAAATAGAAAATGGAGCACTTCACAGTACTTCCTCTCCAAGAATGATGATTTCATTTATTACTTTTTGTTGGTTTTTAAAGATCATATTTTGCATTAGATCATTTCTCACCATTTGCGAATTATGAACTTACTTCTACAAATACTCACCAGGAAGAAGATGAAGCCAACATTAGATGGAGTTCAGCAAAGACTTTTTGCTTTAAAATAGGTCGACTGTTTTAGTAGTAGGAAACAGACACTATTTTTGGTATATAGACATTTTCAAATCTACAATTTCTACAATGCCACCGCTGTGACAATACCCTAAGCCTTTTCTCCTTTTTGCCACCTTTTCAAGTCATTTGTCAGATTTGCATTCTTGAAACTGGGACCTTCACAGCAAGGGGCACAAGCCCTTGGCATTTGAGCTGGAGGACTACGGCCAGGTTTCTCAAATTGGGTTGGTTCCTGCTATGGCTTTCTCTAGGTAAAAAAAGAGGAGGTTGCTCTTCTCAGTGTGGAGTCTGGTGGAGTCAGGCCCATAACTTCTACCACATTTGAATGCAAAGCTAGACATCATTCTTTGAAGCCAATTTGAAAATAGCAGCCATAGTCCTTTAGTTCAACATGGTGGTGCTGATAATATGAAACCCGCTTTTGAGAAGAACAAAGGCTTGTGCTGTGCTCTGTGTGCACAGAGCCACGAGCAACTTCCTCCACACCTTATGTTCAGCTTTTCCATTGAATGGAGAAGGCACTTGCCGGCACTTGTCTTTCTCCATTCTGCTTTGGGTTTGCAAGTCAACTTCAGAACTAACACTCCATAAGCTGATGCTGTCTTGGAAACCTGGCTTTTAAGTCTGCTGAACTTAGCATTTGTTGATAAAGCATTCTTAGGAGAAATATGACACTTAGAAGGGTTTATCCTACAGTGGTTGGACATATTTTGTGCAGACAAGACTACTGCAAAGCCCTAATATGTGGTCTATTACCTAGTTCAGCTCCAGAGCATGACAGAGCTTGTGTCTGCGAGTGAGAACACAGCTGAGTTAAATTTGTCATTTTTCAGCAATGCCACTGGGGGCAGAGTTGAACCAACTCAGAGAACTTTTTCCTTCTTTTTAATTAATTTTCTCCTCTTCCAGATGAAGAAGCAATGTGATCAAAAGCTGCTCATTCGAATGAAAACTCAATGTGTACCTTGCTCTTTAAACCTGGAAACCCAGTGCCCTGCTGGTTACACCAAAATTACCAACGGGACAGGGATACCAGATTGCAGGTATCTCTTCCGACAGAGCTTTTCATTGTGAATGTTGTCCTCCATGAATTAGGACATGTTAATTCATATTACAAATGCTCCGTTCTATGCAATTTCTATGTTTCACCAACTCCAGAACTCAAGCTTCACTCAAAGTACTTTAAGCCTAAAGTCAATCAGCAAATTATATGAGGAAAATAAACATTGCTATTGATGATCAGATTTTCTTTGAGTGATATCATAAAATCACTTCCTTGTATATTCTGCATATATTTATATATCAGATATATATCATCTGCATTTATATTTATATATCATTCATATCATGTATTATCATATAAATAACAGATTTTTCAAACTGCCAGATTGGGGAGGTGTGGGGGGTGAAGGGCGGGAAGAAATATCTCAAAACAAATTTGAAATCTTGCCTTTCAGATTAGAAAAAAAGAAAAGCAGTATTTTAGGGAAAATGTAACTATTTTGAGCTTCCTTAACATGTAAAGAGCCTTGATATTAAATAACTTTAAAAATACTATTTCAAATCAAAACTTAGAGAAAACTGCTGTGTTTAGGTTGCAGAAATGAAAAAAAAAAAAAAAAGATAAATATACTATGCAAAAGAAACAGCTCCAAGGATCTTTTTAGACCTTGATGTATGTTTTAATGAAGAAAAAAAGGCAGATCAATACAACTAAGCTTAAAGTGCTCTTGTCTGACACTGAAAGGAGAAGAGGAGGTTAATAATTTCGTTTTTCCCCACAGGAGGCTTTTAAGTACTTTAAAGCAGCTCCAACTTCTTTTTCTCAGGTATTATCTAGAAATTAAAACACACACACTTTCTTTTCCGGGGTGTCGGCATCATTGTATGAAGGAACTTGAACAGCCTGAGTGCTGCCAGGGACACTGGGGCCCAGACTGCATGGGTAAGCTTTTTTTTCTGTTTTTCTGATAGAATTTGAGTAGAAGTAAAGCAGTGGTTCTTCTTCTTTTCAGAAGCTATTGCCATGAGAAAATTGCTCCTCAGAGCTTATTATAGGAGTAGAAATAAACAGAATTTTTCAGCCAAAACTTAGACGATTTGGAGAAAAACACATATTCAGAGCTTCATTTAAAAAGAAAAATTCATAGAAAAATCTTAAAAACTCAGGGAACCCCCTTGGTTTTGAGATTTTCAAAACAAACCATTTCAGTCAATGCCTGCAAAATGACTTTTCATTTGGGAGGATCCCCACAACGGATTTAAAAAAATTAAAATTTTCAAACCGCAAGTTTAAATGGTTCATTTTAGGTCAATAATAGCCTCATCTGAGTCTGAAATATTTCCATATCTCTTTAATTTTTTCCTTTTTGAGGAGGGTCTTTTCTTTCAGCTCAACTTGAAACAGTTTTCCCTTCAAGTTTTTTGAACCTCCAGCACATGCTAAAGGTCATTACTGAAGCAGGGGTAATCAGGAGTACCTCTCCGCCCGCTGCCCCTTCCTCAGGAAAAGCCTTTCAGCGTCTCCACAAGTGCATCAAGCCTCAGGCTACTGAGGTGGGCATCAAGACCCACAGAGAAGTTTCCCTGCCCAGACAAAGCGTTTCCTCCTTTAGTTAACGCCTTAGATAACGGGGTAAAGGTCTGGTTCAACATCTGTGAAGTCCTTTTGTCCACAAAATAGATTAAAAAATTATTTTAGCATGGCCCAAGCTACGGTTTAAATACCAGTCATTTATCTACTAAAGTAAAATAGTCAAACCCCAACTTACAGCTACTTCTACAAAAAAGACAGGCGAATAGCTGAGTATGTAGCGTGTGGTCCCGTCTTCTGAAAATAACTACTTGTGTGGTGATTTACCCTTTCTCCACCAAATGCAGCCTAAGTGCCCAGTAGGAGGAAGGCAATGCTGCATGTGATTGTCATCCCCTACCTCAGGGTGCTCTGGGAGGCCCACGGAAGACACATGGGTGTTTCTAGAGAGGGGCAGAGCTCGCTGCCCCCGAGCCGGAGCCCTGCCTGCACTGCTGCGGGCAGGAGGCTGCAGAGGCGAGGAAGCCCTCTCTTCCTTCAGACAAACTTCCTGGCCGCAAAAAGCAAAGAATCAAGGTCTCGGCATTGTTTCTGCTGTCGTTTGGAGGAAGAAAATATCTCTTTGCATTATCGCAATCTCTCTAAGAGCATATGGCGCGCCTTGAAATGTTTGGAGGAAAGCCGGTCTTTCCTGAGGCCAAAGAAAAATCCCTGACTAGGGATTTACTTCACATTTAGCATCTGATGGCAATGACAAAATTAGGTCTTAAACAGCACTCTGACTTCCTTAAATGATAACACATGCTAAAACACACAGTGTGAATGAAAGATGTTTTGCCCCCTTCCTTCCCCACGAAGCGCCCACAAGCTGCATGCCCATCCCTCTGTAAAAAGGCATCAAGGAAAACGGGAAAAGTACAGAGGGAAAAGATCCGAGGGAAAGGAGCACAGCCTTTTAACACTGCCAGTATCATCCAAGCACAGATGCCAAAGCTAGTGGAGCTCAGATGCCCCACGTGTGTAACTGATGGACTTCAGCGGGAGCTACTCCCTACTCCAGCTCAGGTTCCCACTCTGGGCAAATATTTGCATGGCTCCAAAGAAAAGCCTGGGTACCAACTGAAAGGTGCGCAGTATGAGCAACTGAGGAGAAAGCACTGCAAGAATAAAGAAAAACAGTGAAAAGGAAATAAAAAGGCCAAGAGGAAAGATAATAAACCTAATTCTATCAAAGTATATGTCCAAAATACATCTTCTTTACAAGTTCTATCCCCTGCTTCAGCCTGCAGGGGTAATCCAAGAAGAGGCTGCATTTGAAAACACTTGGGAAGTGCTGAATTAAACTCTATGAGGCTGAATTAAACTCTATGAGGCCAAAAAACAGATAGATTTAAGCTCTTTTGGCCTAGGGATAAAGATTAGGCCTTCGGACTCTGAGAGCTGTAAAAGCTAAGCAGAAACATCTCTTTCTTACAACTTTTCAGAAGTTGTAAGAAGTACAACAGAAGCGAAGGTCTCGCCCCTCCCCGGTACCGGGGTGGCGGCGGGCGGCCGTGCCGCATCACTCCAGTGCCCCGGCACTGCCTCCTGCGGCCCCGCCAGCCGGGGCAAGCGCTTCATCTGCCTGACCAAACTCATACAACCATATGGTAACGTGCTAAACTTCTGATAAAGCTGTCCCTTGGTGGTGGTATCAAAGCAAGAGACATGAGGTAGTGAAGACAAGGGGAAGTGTAAGGAATATCTGCTGCAACAAACCTGTTTTGTCAGCAATTTTAAAGTATGCTTTCCTAGAATTTATACCATCAGCTGAGTTTTCCCGTGATTTTTCTCTTTGCACATTCAATAAAAGCAGCAGCGCAGTTAAAATTGTTTCCTTTCAGAGCAAATATTAAACAGTTTGCGCCTGTGTCGGTCCTAAAGATGAGATTTAGCTATCTCATATTAGCCAGAAAACAAGACTCGCTAAAAGCCACTTTAAAGATTAAAGTATATGTATTTATTACTTTACCTCTTTTCTGGTTATTTCATCTCAACTCCTAATAAATCTTTTTATTTCAGCACGTATGAAATAAACTGCACTAAAATTTTCGTCTTTAAATTTCTTGGTTTTTTCACGAGAAGCTTACTTAGATCCAACAGACCTCACAGACCCATCATTAAGGAATAAATTGAGAAATATTGAGAAATTGATATAAAGCCAAAGCCTTCACTAAAATTAGGGGTATACATATACACATCCACTTATTTGCTCATCACTCTGCCCAAATTAAATTCATTTTCATGAAAACTTCCGTATCACTTAAACACTCTAAAACAGGATTAAGTTACTCAGAGGGAGCATAAATCCAGTGCTGCACTTCTCAACCCACACAGAACAAACTGAGACTCTTTATAAGCAATAAATCTACCAGTAAGGTACAGCAGAGAACCTCTGAGGACAGTTTGAGTTTGCTACATTTAAATACCACCTGCATCAGGATTATGGTTCCTAATAGGAATTCCAATTACAGGAAGAAAGGGCTTATGGAAAGGGGTTAATAAATCATTTCCATGGAGAGGCTGCACAACTATAAAAAATAAGGACATCCCTACGGGGGGGGGTTGGGGGGGGGGAAATGACAGAACAATCTGACTAAAATATGCATTTCCTATAGGCAACCCTTCAGTAAAAATTTGAATATTGAAAAATTTCAGCCAAAAATTAAACTATTTTGATTTGGAAATGCAGTTATTGTTTCTTAGCCTCTCCTGCTGGCTGGGGTTTTTGCTCAGACTCTGTCTCACCTGGTGTATCACTGCCTGTAATCATGGTTTTAGCGCCAGAGGATCTGAAGAGCATAGCGCATCACTGCCGCACAAGTTTTACTAGTGACCACAGCCCATTGGACAGAAGTGGGTTATGAGATACCCAAATTTCAATTTCCAAGATCATTTAAATCAAATATCACAGTCTTATGGGAGGTAGGGGGGGGGGAAATTAAAAACTTTCCGCATAAAGCAAATGCAATTTGTGGGGAAAAGAAAAAGGCTTATTTAAACTCTAATTAAGCATCAAATATAATTCTGACAGCAAATTTTCAGTCAATCAGAGTTGTATTAACAAACAGAAGAAATGGTCAGGCAAACTCCACTTGTATCAGAAAAGTTAACAGTTTAGAGCGTCCGCAGATAGAGGTGGATCACAGGGACAAAATCAATATGGTACTTCAGAATAAGAAAACTATTTTTTGTACAATCTATTGATTACTGTCACTGGCTTAAGTTCCCATACTAGAGAGGGTGACAGTCTCTACTGAAACCGAGATTCTAGTGAAGAGATTCAGGCAGCTGCAAAATAGCAGCAGTCACTCTGAGGCCCAAAACCCTGCAGGCTCCGAGGTCGTCACCCCCAAGGCGCAAGGGGAGCATAAGGGTCAGAGAGAGCTGACTGATGGCTTTAACGTTGTCATTTCTAGCCTGTCCGGGAGGAGCTGCGTCACCATGCAACAGGAGAGGACGCTGCTCCCAGGGTATAAATGGGGATGGAACTTGCATTTGTCAGGTATGTCCCTTCTTTTAAATGAAAAAATATAACAATAGCATATAAGCTCTGCTAAGAAATAATGCATATTATGTGGTATAAATACACTAAAGGAAAGTATTTCAGAAATAGCAGAGACGATCTGCTTGGAGTTCATTTTTTACTTGGCTTGCACTAATCTTCACACTATTATTTCTACAGACTTGAGCATGTTTGGGTGATATTATTAAAGATTCCATCTTGTCTTCCTGAAACAGGTGGTTTGAGTTCCTCTGTTTTTAAGAGTGTGCTATTACTTAGGACTTTTTGCCCTAATTAGAAAGGACTTACACTTGGGACTAATACTCTCAATATAATGTTCCTTTGCTGAGAGTGCAATGAGCAGAGCTTAATAACTTCAGCCAAAAAGATTTTTAAAAAAAAACAACTCGAATCTTTTCTACCTCCCCCTCTACTGGTTAATCTTTCCATTACTTCAAAAGCACATCTTCTGAGGACATGTAAAAAAGAGACAGAGTGAGAAGTAGTCAGAAAATACAACCTAACAACTGTAAGAATGATTTGTGCATTAGGCTTGATTACTGTTCTTTATTGTTAAATTGATATTCAGAACATCTGATTTGATTTGAAGTGTAAGAACTAAAAATTTAAAATTAAAAAAAAAAAAGAGAGAGGAAAAAAAATCAATGTTTTCTAGATTGCAGTAGTCACCTCTGATTTGCTGACTGAACCTTTCATGTTATTTTCTTTTGGCAGCTAAAGATGCTGTTTTCAGGCTGCTAAGTATATATCTCTCTATATAGAGATAGATGAGAAACTTAAGTTTTGATTTCCATTCTTAATTCACAGAAAGGCTTTGGTGGAACAGCCTGTGAAAAATGTGCTGAAGATAATTTATTTGGTCCTCACTGCACATCAGGTAAGTTTGAGCTTTCTTTATTGAAGTGGGGAAAAGAAGGTGGGTGAAAGCTGACCTTTCGACACTACGAAATCCCAGTGAAATGGGTAGGGGGTCTAAGGGTTTCCCGTCAAGAGCTGCTGTCTCTTCAGGGAACACAACAGGGAAAGAAAATAGGCAGCTACTCAACTCTTCATTCACAGTGGGGCTGGATTCAGCTCAGGACTGTACAAACAACACACTCAGTGTAGGGCTACAAAAATATCTTAATCTTTACTTGAATATCTTTGTTATAGCCAACAGTCAAATAAATTAGAGATTAGAATCACCTGTGTGTTCCTGCAGGTATGCTTCCCTGTTAGCCAGTTATCATGTTATCCACTTCTCACCCTAAATTACAGATTTGCATTTATTTGATCTAAATACAGGATGTTGTTACGGTACTTAAAATATTGGGTGGCAACATATTAAATGCGTAATTTATAGTGGCTTACAGTGTTTTGGTATGTTTTTTAAATACATCTACAAACTGGAGCATCTGTACTAAGGCATTAAATACTCATGTGGTATTGAAATCAGCATATTGGACTCAAAAAGGCCATTTTGAATCAGGCCAAAAGTCCTTCTAGCCTAGCATCCTGGAAAGAGTACAAGCAGCCAGAGATTGCATTCAAATTGTAGTGTTTAAAGGCTCCTGCTGGATCCATCCTTCATAAATTATCTACCTTGCCTTTAAGTCCAATTCTGCTTTTGCTCTCCACAATATTCTCTGCCAAGGAGCTCCATAATTTAGTCAAAAGTGTGAAAAAGGATGAATTCAGGTTAGTTTTGGTTTTTGGCTGGAAGAGTACAAGCAGCCAGAGATTGCATTCAAATTGTAGTGTTTAAAGGCTCCTGCTGGATCCATCCTTCATAAATTATCTACCTTGCCTTTAAGTCCAATTCTGCTTTTGCTCTCCACAATATTCTCTGCCAAGGAGCTCCATAATTTAGTCAAAAGTGTGAAAAAGGATGAATTCAGGTTAGTTTTGGTTTTTGGCTGGTAGATCATTCCATTGGTTGGCCATACCAATTAGGAGAAGTGGGACATTGAGGGAGGGATCAGAGCTATGTGCACTATTTAAAATGTATATGTATCGCAGGTGTATATATTTGTATAATATTTTCCAGTTTTGCCTATTTCTCAATGATTTCTAGTATTTTATTTACCTTCCTGACCCCTGCTGAGCATTAAAGAGACACATCAGAAATCTGCCTGAAAAAAAATATTAAGAAACGTCTCTTTCTTAAGCAGTAATAGTTGTTTTTTCTCTAAGTAAAGTTCTCTTTGTTCCCTCAAGGTCTACATAAAGTTGCTTCTAAAAAGAGTCACGAATGCCTCACTTTAAACAATCTGAGTTGGCCTTCCTACACTAATCCTACACCACTGCTGACTCAAAGCCCCTTCTTCCACCAGCTGTCCACTGGATGCCAGTGTTGATACATAGAAATGTAACTGAGCCAACATTTTCAAGAAAATAGGGTATTTGAATGAATTCAATATCATAAATGTAATTATTTTCCAAGAAGCTACCGGAGGACTCAACTGCATATTAATTTAAGCAACATTTTACACTTCAGCTTTCAGATATTTGAGCTCCTCCAAGTTTTCTAAGCACCTATAAATACTGTGGATTTGTGACTAACTGCTTTTCAGCAAGACCTTAGACATTCCTCGTTTTTGTATTAGGACTACTAACATAGGTATAGTGTTACTAACTAATTAGTGTAGGTGATTTGCATGAACACAGGCTATGTTTATAAAGGGAAGAGGATATGTTACATCACTGCAGCTTAAACATGAAGTCACCAATACAACTCTGTACATATTAGAGGCTTTTCCAAGTGTAACTGTAAAGGGCCGTTTTAAAAAGCATCATTACCATAATTGAAACAGTTATAACTGTAAAGCTTTTTAAGTATACTTAAGGCTTCAAAAACCACTTATAAAAGGGTCTCATAGTTGCCTGGACTCTAAATACGGCATCTTGTGCGCATACTGTCACAAGGTTTATAACCAGAAATGACAGAATATAGGAACAGGACCAGAAAAAAGCCTGAGACCTACACAGTGATTAATTATCCTTTTAACTAAATAAATTCTGTTTAGGGTGGAAAAAAAGTCATAAAACTTATCTTTTCTGGAGGTGTTTGAGAGAGGCAAACAGAATTGAAGCAAAATGAGCAATTTGTTAACAATTATAAAAAATTATCTCTGCTACACATTATATTCAGTTTTGGCTCAAGACTGTATGTCAAATTTTACAAGTTTTATGGTATTAGCAACTAGTCGGTTTGGTGCTTATAGCATGTGTCCTGAAGACTTTCAGGCCCCAGGCTATTAACAGCCTGCAAAAATCAGTATGTTATTTACTGATGTACACAACTGTGAGCATTAATGGAAGCCTATAAATTCAGGAACTCAGGTCAAAGCTTGGTTTGGCCAAAGTTTTTGGCTAGGACACTATTTGCTATGGGTAACCACTAACGATGTCTTTCCGAACACTATTATTATTCAGTAAAGCCAATCCATCTCTCCATATAGTTTGCAACTGCATTCATGGAGTATGCAACAGTGGAATTACAGGGGATGGAAGATGCACTTGCGTGTCTGGATACAAAGGGCTCCACTGTGATCAGCGTAAGTAGATTGTTTTCTATAGAAGATACATTCAACAGCTCTGATACAGTTAGAACTGGTGAGGATGAATGTAAAATTAGTCTCAGGTTAGTCACTCTAGAGCAACCAAACATACACAGAACCTCAAACCCTGTGTGTGAGCTCCCATAGCCATCATCACCACTTCAATCGCCAGAAAAATGATGACAGCAATGCAATCAATGCTCCCTAGATCAGGCGTACTTTGAACTAGTTATACTGCAGAACGCAATGCCTCCTGGCACAGTGTGCGGACGCAACTTAACCTGTCGCATTCTGTCCCTCAGCGATAGCTGAATGCGAGGCCTTGCGGTGCCCTGCAAATTCCAGTTGCACTGCCTCAGGAGAGGATGGAAGACAACTGCAATGCACGTGTCTGCCCAACTACCATGGGGATGGTACACAATGTGAACGTGAGTAATTTTCATCTACACAGAGTTCTTTGTATACAACTCATTGATATTATAGTTCAGATATTAAGTGCGCTTTTGAACCAAATCTCACCATCTAATTGTTCTTGGGTTCATATCCCAAGTCTCATGTGCACAAACTAGATTCCTTCAGGATGAAACTAAACCCTAAAATGTGCTTCAGAAGCACATCAGTCCAATTGCTAACGAGCTTCAGTCCATGCAACCAGACTAAAGCTAGTAAACCCCCTTGAAATACATAGCGTGGATACTGGGTCATCAGTGCTTACAAATCCATTCCTATCACATCCCTCTACTTACTGAAGTTCAACCTCATAGTTTGCTTACATAAAAATCAACAACACCAACCAAGGGCTTATATTTGTTGAATATCCATCATGTGGCGGCTCAGCTTCATCACTAAGCATAAACTCTACAGACAAGTAAAGCTCATTTTAGCTTTCCTATTTTTCATGAAACAAAGTTAATAGTATCTCAGCTAGAGGTAAAAGTCTACCTTAAAGCTGTCTTCATAGACTCCTCAACTTGCCATTGAATGCTCAAATTAACTATATTAAAAGAGTCCAGATTTCCTTTCCTCTATTTACATTATGTCTTACAGCACCAGCTCTTCCTTCTAGACCAATTGCAATGAAGAAAATGGTTGTATCTGATGCTGGAAGCACTACTTAGTAAATGTTGGCTTGGATCAGGCCACAAATACAATACTTCTTATCCTGTCTGGGAATATTTACATTCAATCCTCTTGGTCCTAACTATGGTGTCATCCTCTCTGATTAGGCTTGAACACCATCCAAGAGCAAGACAGCAGAAAGTCACTCCTCAGGGAATGTGACGTTCTTCTAGTAGGCAGCATAGGCAAGTGAGAGACAAAGAAATGGCAGCAACTAGCAGAGAAGGATGCTAGTATCCCTACCTCTCTTGGTGTTTGTATTGATGCAGTCTGTGTGGATGTTGCTCCTCTGTCCCAGTGCCGTTAGATACTGGGGTCATCTGTGGCTTAAACCAGTGTCTTTTATGTTTGGCTGGCCGGGAAGCAGAGGACAAGCAACTCCAGCACAGCTAAGTATGTAAGTGAGGATAGCAGTGGCTGCCCCAGACTCTGCTTGGAGGTGGCATTGCTTATGGTCGATTTGAGCATGTGGATATGTATGTACGCACGTGATTTCACATCGGAACAGAAGAGAAGGCTTGAAAGAGCGAAGCTGAGCATTGCCAACTCTCTCAGTCCCAGCTGAGGGGGAAGAAAGGGAGGAGGAGGGGGGAAGACAGTGAGCAGCACCACCTTTTAGGTGAGTCCAGGGCCTGCCACCTTCCAGCTACAATGTGTGCTTGACCATATCCTAAACTGGACACAAAGGTGCGAGAAGGTGTTCTCCAAGCACTGCTGGAGTATGAACAAGGACAAATAATGCCATTACCTTGAAAAAAAGTGCTCATGGAAATAACTAGTGAGCTTCCAGTCCAGTCCTGAAACTACAGCAGAGTGGAAGTCTCGACTAAAGCACTTGCTGGCCAGTTTTCCATATAGCTGAACAGATGACATTTTATTGTTTAATTACCGGAAAGAAAACAACAAAGGCCTATTGCATTGAGAAATATTTTCCAACTGATCTAATACGCGCTTAAAGCTTGTACAGACCTCGTATCACCTACCTGACCTTCTCCGGTTAAAATCCACCAGAGAACAGGGAAATAGTTGTGATATTTTAATGAGCACATTACATGTTTTAATCTGTTTATAACTCAATTTGCCAAGTTAAGAGATCATTTCTGTTCAAAAGCAAACAGTTGGTTGCTACGTTAGTATAAACACATTCTTCCCTTCTGTCTTCATGCCGCCACGATACTTCAAACTTGGCTGTTATGAGAAGTTTAGTCTAGCCGGGCTTTGTTTGGCATGGAGGTGCTCTGGCAAATCCTCGTCTTCAATTTCAGAACTGTGGGCAATAATTCATTTACTTCACTTCTTTCTTCACAAGCTATCAACCCATGCTCCAAAAAGGTCTGCGATCCTAATGCCGACTGCATTTACCTCGGACCAAATCGGCACAAATGTACCTGTCGAGAAGGTTACAGAGGGGACGGTCAAGTCTGCTTACCCATAGACCCCTGCCAAGCAACGTATGGGAATTGTCCTGCACAGTCTACCATTTGCATGTATGATGGTCCAGGAAAGGTTAGTGTTGAATGGGTGCCCCAGACATTTCCTATGTCAACTGCCTAGGAAGGAATAATGCTTTCTCTCTGAAAACAAGCCATGAGGGTATGGGAACAGGCCTCAGGGAGGCCAAGCTCTACTCCTAGCTTTGGCATAAGCCTTGCCGGTGATCAGGAATGAGTCCCTTTACCTCCCTCTCTATGCATCTATGTGCTGCTTTCCCCTCTGAAAATGAGAATGGTAATAGTGTTGTTTTTCCTAGAATATTTTGGCTCAGATTTGCCTCCCCAAAATGAAGGCACTGAAATGAAGCTTCTCCCAGTTAAATTTTCTCTCTCTGACCACAGGGGGCTTGTAGGACCAGTAGGCCCCTTACACACGTACCTCAGATAAATGCCTACAGTGAATGTATTTAGGAAAGAAGTAATCTGGGTCTTTGAGGACTACCAATGAAAGGCACTATATAAAGGCTGCTGTTGGGAACCGACTCAGGTTTCCATGTGTAAAACTCCCACCACTGAGAAAGCGAGACTTCAGAAGACCATGCCTGTTTTGCCTGGACACCCTGAAGAGCCAAAAAGAGAGTCAGTCATCCAGGGTCATCCTGCAATTCACGTTCATATAAGTGCTGCTATGACTCACTTGTTAATAATATGCATCGGCACTCTTTTTGGGAAGCAGAGGGCTGTGGGAACAGAGGTAAAAAATCTGACCTACCCACACTGATTTTAAATGTTCTCTGGTCACAGAAGTGAATCTAAAGGGCTTTATCTGAAGGAAATTTGTCTGAGAGTCAGTAGTTTTCTGGAATGGATAAAACCTAGAAGGGAGTTGTATAAATATGGATAAGCTTTATACTTGCAACTGAACTCACCAGGTCATTAACTAAGGCTTTGGAAGATCACTGTCTTTAGACCCTAGTTCCAGAAAGTATGCTGAAATCCACAATTTGTGCATATGTAATTTTTCTCTCCCCTGTCCCACCCTTCTGATTTAGTCCCACTGTGAATGCAAGGAGCATTACACAAACTTTGTACCTGGGAAAGGATGCAGCATGACGGACATCTGTGAAACAAACAACACCTGCCATAAAAAAGCTAAATGCTCAATGGTTGCACCAGGAGAGATTACGTAAGTCTTTTTGCTTATTAAAGCTGCCCCTAGTAAACAGGCTGCTAAAATAAATCCAGTCGATGAACACCTCCTGAAGTTATCATTAATGGTTTCTTTATCAAGGACAAATTACAAGATTTAATGGGGTTAGGGTCAACCAATTAGCTTAGTGTTTGATTTCATCAGTCCAATTGCTAAGACCTACTAAGTTTTATTTTCATAACACTCAGAGGTCATTTCTACACTAGTAAATAAAAGGACCAAGACCTCTTTTCTGTTCCTCAGGGCAAGCAGCATGGTCTGGCTCACAGCTAAAGCCTCTTCTTCCAAAACAGAGTAACTGCCTCTTGGCAGAGGTCCCTGGCACGCGCTATCCCTTCAACCGTGCCTGGGCACTGCTTGGGAAAATGCTACTTGCTGTGGGCCAGAAACACGCCAGGCAGTATGCTAAAAATTAATCAGCATTAATTATCATGGGACAGCGCTGGAGGCCTGGCTCTTTTTAGTATACTAATACTAGGGAATCTGACCCCCATGCTGTGAAAGCAACACCAGCCTCGGCAGATTCCTCAAAGCCTCGAGATAAGCACGTGGGAAACTGCAAAACCTCTGGCAGAGTTTGTTTTCCTGTACAGGAATTTGCTACACAGATGTTAGGAGGAAAGTCAGTTTTAACACTAAAATTAACAAAGCTGTCTTAAACCAAACAATTTGGATTACATGTTTCTATAGCCCAGTGATGGCTAGTGCTGGGTTTAGAGAGATGTCCCTGAAATCAAGATTGTCTCTGTTTTCTGTTCCCACATAGATCTTTCCTGAGTGATGGCTGACACTTTCTGTGGCATTGCTTCAGCACAGTAATTATGTTCAGCCTTGCCCAGAAGCTACGAAGCTTCAACTGGTGCAGAATTACACTGCATGTTAGACGATAACCTCTCTGGTTTCCGAGCAGAACTAGCTTTCCCTCAGCTAAACTCGATTATTTTCTTTTTTAATCTCACTTTTATTTTTACTCTGACCATGTCTTCAATGTAGAAATTAGTAGCTTCATAAACCAAAACTCTATTATACAAGTTTCATGTAAAATGGAGACAGAAAGCTGAGCTCCCCTTTTCTAGAGAGATACAATTCTCTTCCCCCTCCTGGGTAAGCTGAAGTAGTAACAGTTCCCATCTTCTTCAGTCCTGCCTATACTGTCCATGCAGCATATCATGAAAACATCAAACAACTAAGTTTAAATAGTCCAGAAGGGTTTGTTGTAAAGCTGTTCCTCTTTAGAGGCACCGAGCCCACCCAATACGCAGTGCATTCAAAACAAAACCTATGAAGCCATATGCAGTATGAGTTGCAAACCAGATCCTCCAGACAAAGTTAAGACAAAACTAATCTAGTCAGTCACCCAGCTGGTCCCTCCCGAGCCCGGCCACACAGAGGAAATTACTCCATCAGAAGGGGTGAGGGGACAGACAGGTTGAAGGGTTCAATCCCATGCAATAGGTGCTAATCTGTAACTGCTAAATGCTTTCCTTTGGCAGTCAAATCCAAACTGTGTTACTGGACGCCCACTCAGTTATAAGCAATATTGTCCTCAGAAAAGAAATTTCAAACTACGTACGTATTTCTGCAGTTCGCTGTGCCCCTGGAAATGATAGCCAAAAAAATTACTATGTTTAAGCACCTGCTTCTTTATGACCATTTGCTGAAAAAGAGGAGAGAGGTTTATTTTGAAACCTTGATCTGATTTGTGCAATATTTCAAGGTTAGTTTCTTTTTTCTACTAAACTATTCCTCTCCTCCTTTGAAGCCTCAGTTTTTTTCTTCTCTGCTCAGAAGTGAAGGGGGCTATGTACATCAATACAGCAATATTTACCCCTTCAGAAGAAAGGGGTCAGCTCCCAAGGAGGAGCTGCTCCTCTCTCCCAGCCCTAAACCTTTCAGCCAGGCTCCGCAGTCATACCTCTGCCCAAGAGATTCCCTTAAAAAGAAGAGGATCACCATCAGGATCGCATCCTAAAAATTTAAGATGCTTTTTGACTGCCGTTTTTACCCAGGACCAGATGGAGTTAAAGCTTGGCCAAAATCCCAGCACCCCTCTGAGTCTATATGCAGCCCCCTATAGGGGCTGTGGGGATTTTCAAATATTGCTATCACCAGAGAAACAGCTACGGTAGAGACCGTACGTGGGAAACAGGAGATGATTTGGCATCAGCTTGATACTACTGTGGGGTGTGAGTGGCAGATGTGTGTTTGTAACAACCAGCACATGCAAGCGATTAGGTCATTAGTTATATAAAGAACATCTTTTGCTTCCATGCAGTAATGTTCCTTCTCTAATGATGCCTTTAGAAAACATATCCAGAGAGATGAATCATTACAGATAGGGCTTATATGAATACTGAACATGCTGGAGACTTAATTAGGAAACGCATTATTAAAAGCCAATGTTTGGCAACACATACCGTATAGTTGTTTAGCCTCCTAAATACAGTTAGGGTTTCTTTCTGTGTGCACTACGTGTTGACAAGCACCTGCTTTAATTTTAGCACTGAAGATGAGTAAATGACTGAGCTGACACCAGCAGCCAGTCTCCCAGGAGCAGCCAAGCAGGGGCTGATTTTCTGAAGACTGCAACAGAAAAAGCTGAGATTGGCAAAACCAGCAGGCATCGATGGCCCCTCACATTGAGGCAGGCTTAAAGAGTCCAGATTTTTTAGAAAGTACTAACCACCTCTCCCGGTCAATAGTCAGGTTGACACAAGGTCAAGGCACACGCAAGTCCTAGTTGCTCTTTGAAACTCACAACCATTTGTACCTGTCAGCACCTAATAGCAAGCATGTGTCAATCACGTTGACAACCAACAATTTCTTCCCCACCTCTCTTGCAATGCTGATGTCTTTCACGGCCAGATTCAGTTTTCATGAGGAGTGTTCCCTCCCTCATAGGACAGAAAATGTCAGACTGACACTTGGGGTTGTTCTTCCATAAATTTCCTTTCGATTTTGCCTTGGCTGCAACACGCTACTTCAAATGCAACCCATCCCAAGGCAGTGAGGACGTTGAGCCCATCTCGAGGCATTGCCTGTTACTCTCATGGGCACCATGACCTGAGCCTGCTTTGGACATACGTGGGACTGGGTCAACCATACATCACTGAGACCTCTCACAGGTTGGAGTCCCCAGGGGACAGCCAGGGTGTTACAGATGAGACATTATTTCCAGTGCAGAGACAGCAGCAGCATAAAGCATACATCTGGAAAAACGTGAGATTCTGTGCTTCAGCAGCTTCAGAAAAAAATATAATGTTAAAGTACAAGTACCATTGCCCAAAATGGTTGTGTTACTTAAAGGGCAGGGTAACAAACAACCACTTTGCTTGTTAAAAGGTCTGACACCCCTGCCTGCCTTTTCCTACCAGTCCCATACAGGTATCGCAAGGACTGATGAGCTGCCATCACCCCCTTCATACGTAACTACCATTAATCCTGCCAAGTCCCACGTAGTAAGTGGGGGCTTCACACAACCGCCTCCCCGCCGCAAGAGTGGCACCCCACACATTTATGCCGTAGCCTCTCCTTGCCCACAGGCAGGCAGGCTCAGTGGCTCTCTGGGCTCCAGCAACCACAACATCTAGGGACCAGAGGCTGCACCGCAGCCAGGGGTGGTGCATAGACCCCGTTCCGCCCACGTCAGGCAAGCAGCCACCAGGCTGCCCTACACGCTAACGTACTTTACAGCATACAGAAGCAAAGGTTAAACTAAAATGCGTTCGTGCTTCCTGAAAATGCCTTCAGAGAAGCAATTAAGTAACCCCTGGAGCAGGTTTAGCTAGAGCCTCGCTGACACCACAAGGCATCAGCCCACAGCTAAAATGACAATCCCTTCACAGGTGTACATGCCAGGGGGGCTCCGTGGGGAACGGGTTTGTGTGCTATGGAAACGTCATGGAGCGCCTCCGGGACCTGAACGCCGAAGTGGGAGGACGGTGGCAAGGCAAGCTGACATCCGCCTTATCGCTCATGGGTGAGTGGCCACAGGCAAGCAGAGTCAGCTCCTGCTGGGTGGGTTGATCATGCCCTGTCTTCCCCCAACGCTCCCTGCTGCATGAAGGTGCCACTAACGGCATGACACAGCACGCACGCTGCTCACCGCAGACTCTTTCTGACAGCCTAAAGCTGCCTTTGCTCACCATGCCATGCAATCTGCAAGAGTTTCCAAGCAGAAGTGCTAAACACGTTCCCACAACCCCTCACACATCATTTGGTATCACCAGTGGGTTTTGCCCCATAGTGGGATAAGTGGGATCATACCAATTCTTCTCCCTCTCTGCCCCCATTGATGTGGATAATTGAGATTTGATCTAGAACGACACACAGAAGTCCACCAAAACCATCAGGATTCCCAGCTGGGTCCCTCTTCCCCAGTCCCCAGCCATCAGCAGTGGCATTGCTTTCACCAGGAAAAAGGAGAGAGGCAAGGGGAAGAGGCTGATCCATGGTCCCCATCACACTCAGGACCCCCCACCAGAGCACCTCAGCCACAGGTGGGAGGTCTCCAGGTTTCCAAATTTCTGCAGAGGTGAGGTGGAGACCCTGTCAGGGCTCACAGCTACCAGCCTTTCACAGTTATTGCAGCCACCTCACGAAGAGAACAGCGTAACTGTCCTCATCATCTTCTGTTGCATGGCCACAAATGTGAGCTATGAACAAACACTGCGAGAATCGAGCTGGATCTTCAAGTTGAATTTGCAAATATAAAAAATTTCCTTCTGTTTAATATGATTTGCTCAGTCCTTTTCACTGAGCCCAGCAATTAAAATAAAGATCCTGAATTCCTGACAGAACGGAATAAGAATTCCCCATAGCTGACCGAGGACAAAGCCTGGCAGTGACCCTCACATCCAGCACTGAAGACTGAAATCCATTGCCTCAGCACTGAGAGCTCAGTTGCAGTTTCTCTGTGCGTTTCTCTTTATGTGTCTGAAAAGTGCCCTACCTGCTGGGCGCAACCATTTGTTAATAACAATACAGATTTTATGTTCTTTGGTTAAGTTTTGGACATAAATTTGCCATTTGATTTACTAGCCAGAAGCTACAAAGACACATTAACCGCACAGGTTATTTTACAATACATTCACTCCACATTAATGTCTTTCAAAAATGAAGAATATACAGCAGAATATTCCGCATTGTTTTGTAAGACAGCATATTAATTTTGAGGCATGTTCTCTGGTACGACATACCTATAACGACTGTAAAGATGGGTTTAGTTCTGATTTTAAACCTCTAGAAAAAGAACTGAATATTAGAAATACTTAATGCCTTCAGCTACAGAATCAGTGGTCTCATACTGCTGTCTTGGAAACAGAAATACCATCTGGGTAGCAAATGAACTTTAGTTAACTTTCAGTACATCAGCTTTTGTTACCAGCTATGTGTTTGCTGATATTTGCACTACCAGCAGGTTATCAGCAGCATATCCTTCCTTCAATGAGCTTTTCCATACACATTTAATTTTTCTTTTTTTTCCCCCTCTCTCCTTATAAGAAAATGTCTATGAATGGCCGCTGAGTACTCTGGGACCATTTACCGTGCTTGTACCCACAAACAAGGGGCTTAAAGGTACAAATGTAAGTAAACAACAGAGAGGGTTTTAAACTGGGGGGGGATTTAGCTCCTCCAGAAATCTCATCTGTGTTAAAAGTGTTTTGATGCAACAGATTCAGAAGAACTTTTTGCTCTAGTACACTTCTGGATACATTTAAATCTAGGGGCCAGAGACGGTCTTTTTCCTACTTGAAAGAAAAACAAAATAATTTGGCTAATCAGGGTAGAATGCAGTCATGCTTCAAGTAAGTTTTGGATTGTCTTGCATGGCTGTGCTCAAGGTTTTTTCACTTGGTTGAGACAGGGTCTGAATTAAGATCTGAATTTTCAGCAGGGAGGCCCTACAGGTCACCTTTTATGCAAGGGTGATAAAAAAAAATGGTTTTAGTTTAAAAAAAAAAAAAAAAAAAAAAAAAAAAAAAGTGGCCTGAGAAGCCTCCATTTGGTTCAGACCTTATCACCTCACTTCAGAAGAAAATGTATCATTTTGGAATGTAACAGCTGGAGGAAAAAAGCATTCACCATGAGATTATTTTTAGATGAAGCCAGTATTGAAATAAATCTCTGTTCTTCTGCTCTTCTAGATAAAGGATCTTCTGAATAATAAACAGAAAGCACAGTACTTTGTGAAACTCCATGTAATTGCTGGTCAGTTGAATACCAGTAGCTTGAATAATACTAATGTAATATACACTTTGACTGGCAAGTCAGGAGAGATATCAAAGGGAGAAAAGGTAAGTGGCCTTCCAGCCTACCTCAGCAAGAACACTACTCTCTGTTCACTCAACAAGGAGTACGACAGGTCTTTCTGCAGTGAGACATCAGGTTGCAGATAGCTGCTGGATTATGAAAAACCACAGCAGTGGCCATGCCTTACAAGGAGCTCAAGTGAAACTTGAAACCTCACCGGCATCAAAGTTCCCACTAAAATCAGTGAAAACAAAAATTACCTTTAGAGATGCATCACTGCTGAGTGACAGCAGTCTAACACAGACCGCTCTAAAAAGGTTTACTAAAATTAAGTCATCTTAAATCTGCAGACATGACCAACGGAGCTGGGGGGGACATTAAGAGAGCCTGGGTGAAGTAAGAGGGGGCGTGGGGAGGGAAAAGCCCAGAGCTTATGCTGGAAACCTGTCCCTACTGCTCACAAAGAGCAAGCACCGATTGCACTGCAGATCCCACCTCCCACTGAGCATCAGCCTGGGCATCCTTTGAATGATGCAGCACATAGAAGTCTTCAACATAAATAAAATGCACATGGCAATTTATCATTAAAAACATGGAGTAAAGTTCATCACTAGCCCAGCTTATTTGATGTCAGAAAACATCAGGGCAGTCTGATCCCACAGTTTAAAAGAATTGTTCTCTACAGCTGATATACTAGATTTTATAATATAGAATTATTGCTCTTGGTCCATTAAATGTCTGTTAATGACTTGAGCCTATGTGAAGGCTGAAATCAAGTACTTCTCATGTTTTTTAGTAGATGAGTGTCATCTGAGAAGAGAGATCTATTTTATTTCTTTAACGAGTATGTACTCCATTTGTAACAGGAAAACATCATTGCTGTCTGAGGCCTGTTCGTTTCCTGCAGGCTTCGGTACAGTGCAGAATCAGCAACATTTTGTTGTTTTAAATATCCATATAATATAAGGAAATGGTTTGTAGTCCCTTAAGATTACAGGAGTTGACCCTTTCAGTACAATCACATTTTAAATCATTTCCTGGCAGACTTTTATTACTAGCAGTCATCAGAGCCCTTTTAGGTACACTGCTCTCCCCACTGGGCCTGTCCATGCTTCTCCTCTGAACTTTGCTGTCCTGGAACAAAATAACACGGTCCTGCTCCAAAATCAAAGGAATTTTTTCCATTTCCTTGATAAGCATTGGAAGCAACCTTTAGCCTCCCCAGATTTAAACAGCCCAGGTGTTGGCAATGGAAGGGGGTGTTAGGCTTTATTCAACGCCCATACTCTCTCTGTTGTCATTCCATAACAAAGAGCTCACTATCCATTGCCTTGCTTCTTTCAGGATAATCAGTTAAGAATTAGACTCCAAGGAGGAAGGAGAAAAGGAAAACTTTTGCAGGGAAATATTATTGCTTCCAATGGGATTTTGCACATTATTGACAAAGCCATGGACAACGTGGAGCCAACATTTGAAAGCAGCAAAGAGGTGAGCCATAAGCTATATAAATGCAATGTCAGACTTCCTTTTAAAATATTTTCACATCAATTGAATACAAAGGAGGATGACTGACAGCAGCTAGACAAACTCTGCTGAGCCATTGTGCGCTAACTCAGAGAAGCAACATTCAAAGTGAAAGGTAATGACGCAGTTTCCACACAAACAGACATTCGCTCTTCTGCCAAGCTGGTCCATGGAGAATTTGGTTGTACTCACTGCATTTGAGGGGTTCCTTGGGAAATTGGCAGTCATGATCAGTGCGCCGCACTGAATTCTGGAACAACATACTAAAAGGAGGGACACCTGGACAGATATCAGGCAAGACTTGTATTCAGAGGAGCAATCCCTCCCCTCAAAAGGCTAATATTATAAAAACTGATAATTTTGGATGCTTTGGGTTTTTTGGTGCCCTGCCCTGCCCTGAGCATGCTTCCTTAAGAGGTCACTTCTTTATATGGTGTTTTTGCAAGTATTTTATTTCTCTGCCCTTTCTCATTGGGAATGAAGAGATTCTTCATGCATATGGGGAAAGTGAAGACACTTTGGCCATACACACACTGTTTGTATGTTCTGTGACTACAGAGTATTTCAGGACAATGACAAACTCTAACTATAAGCCCGTATAGCACCAGGACAAGAGTGCTACCATCTCAGCCATTTCTAGACACCACCAGCCACCCAAACAATAAGGAAACTCAAATTTATTCTATCTGTAATAACTGAGACTCATGCAGTAATTCAAAAACTGCCTTATAAGAATTGGTATTTATTCCATGTTCCCAGCCAAAGTAAATCTTACTTTCATCTTATTTTAGGAAACCATAATGTCAGTACTTCAACATAATGGAAGATACAGCCAATTTATATCTTTGATAGAGGTAAGGATCCAGAAAAGCAATTCCATAAAGCTATTTTCAGATATTTTCATATCTGTTAATATTTATATTTAATATTTCCAGTTCTTCAATATTAATATGTAATTTCACTTTTATTTTTAAACCAAAACAGAAAACTGGCCTGGGAATGGATTTACGGCAGGACAACAGACCTTACACAGTCTTTGTTCCAAGTAACGAGGCTCTGAGTAATATGAAAGCTGAGGCTCTGGATTACTTGCTTTCTGCAGAGGTATACTCTTTCTATAATGCAAATCTTTCTTAGATAGTAGATTTATATGTAGATATACAGTAGATGCATACATACATCATTTTCCCGTGTTCATCTAGTTCATCTAAACTAAACTCCCATGATCAACGCTTAAGCCACCTCTAACAATTAAAGATCAAGGTAATACCTAGAAAGGAACGGAATTTGGGATCTCCTGTCCTATGAAGCGACACCAATCCCCCACACCAGGTCCTCGCTCCCCTGCTCTTGCCCTGCCAGCACGGCCCGGACAACCACATTGCAAAGTCCCAAACCCTCTCCTGGGAGGTGTCACCCTTGGCAGGGACAGACAGAGGCAGCAGACGCCGCAGGGCACGCTGCTTGCCATGAGAACCACCATTGACCCAGAGGTTTCTGGTGCACCAGCCTGTGATGCCCTTCTCATCCCCATGTCCTCTCACAGGCCGGATTCGGTTTTTGGGCTAAAACGGCCTCTTTTCTGCTTTGGCAGGGTTCATGGAAGCTGCTGGAGCTGGTCCGATACCACATTGTTTCCAACACTGAGGTGAGCGCGGCAGCTTTACTGTCCCAGAGTGTAAGAGCATTTCAAACCCTTGGCCACTCTGAAGCCAGAGATTTTCCAAGAACAGCCTCCACTCAGTATTGCACAGTAAGGCTGCAAAGGGCAGTCACATAAAGGTCACTAACGGAGAACACAAACCTTTCACCTCAGTGTCACTAATCAAAATAAAACCCTGCTAGGAGGCATGGGGCAGTCCTTGAATCATGGCAAATTAAAACTGTGGTGTGCCACACTAGTGTGTTACCTGCAAGTAACTATTTCCGCTTTAAAATATACCTTTTGGTAATGGGGACTTAGCCCAAGTGGGGAAAAAAAAAATATATATATATAGTCATCCTGAACCTGAGACCCGCTACCTTAGCCTGCTGTGGAGCAAGAACCACTGTCAGGGGGTACTGTCAGCTTGGCAGGGCTGCAGGAAGGAGTAGCAGGAAAAGTACTTGTTGCTTTCAAGATCAAGCTCTCTACGAGCCAATTCTGCCAAGATTAGTCTTCTGTTTATCAGAAAGAGGTGGTTTTGTCATCCTCTAAGTAAGCCCCCTGTTTTTCCCTCCTTTTTCTACTGGAAACAAAGAGCAGAGCCCAGCAACACCCCCACCAACTAAGGCTAGAGGAGGCTGAAGTTCATTCGCACCCCAACCCCTGCTGCAGGGAAGGAAGGTTGTGCTCGTATCCCTAGCGAAAGGCCCCGCGTGCAGCATCCAAGGCGGAGGTCACTCCCGGCACAGAGCGGGATCACAGGGAGCAGAGGCATGAGATCCACGTGTCCCTTCACAGGATATCAGCACCGCCGTTTCCACAATGGTCTAAGGATGCACACAGGGTTATTTTTAGGGAGAGGTGATAACTTTACTTAGACTGGTTGCTATAGTCAGGAGAAAAATTAATATCCTTTTGGGCAACAAGCTCTTCACATGCAGCAACCAGCAAGCTCAGTCAAAATTTAATCACTCTAACTTCGTTACACAAGCAGGTTAGTCAATGCGAGGCTGCCCACGTAGCTAGAGAAAAGCTGATAGGGTCATCCGCTCACCCTGAAGAGAAAGGGGGTCTTTCTTGTGAAATCCATCTGGGTTTGAAAAGAATGATGATATTACATTTCTTTCAATCAATTTATATTCATTTCAGCTAGAGGTTGCCAGCCTCATCTCACTAGAGCACATCAGAAGCATGGCGAAGCAGTACATTTACTTTAACAGGACCAGCACTGTAAGTCAAAGGCAGCTTTCACCTGTGAACAGCTCTCTCTGATCTGGGCAACTGTTTGCATGCAGGGGGAATAAAAAAGGGAGGAGGGGGGACATTAGCAGAGGAATTTCTTGCTATAATGAGGCAGAGATTTTCAACTTGCCATTCCCACCTATTGGTAGAAATTAGTATTATAAAGGATGCAGAGCAAACGACTGGTATATAAGGACAGCCTGCAGTTTCTTTTTTCTTATGATTAGCCCCAGTCCAGGAATGAACCTCATTTATGCTCTGCCTAGTTAAAAAATAAATAAATAAAAAATTTAGAATTCTTTAAATCTTTCTGTTACATATTTTGGTTATTTTAAACACTTCTCAGTGCACACATAGATATTCTTTTATTCTCTTTAATATTACAGTCTCTGATCCTAATGAACCTAGTGAACACATTTTTGAAGGTGTTAATTTGTCAGTACTTTTGCGAAACCAAACTTATCTGTTATGTTAACTCCCTTCTGTTCTTTGCGTATTTTAGCCAAATATGAACGTTCTGGAGAAGAGATGTACCTATGAAAATTCTTGTAAAGGCAGAGCAGTTGCATGAGTAAATGCAGAAAGAATACTTTTTCTTTTTTTTTTTTTTTTCCTCCTGTGAATTTATATAGATCCCAGATTCCCTCTCATTTTTTCCCCCCTTTGTCACAGAGAGGACCAAAGCATGTTTATGCCCACTGAAATCAGTGCCTGAAGTCATCAGTAGTCTCCTCATTTTGGCCAGTCTTTTAGGCACCAGTTCCACAGGCTAATGGTGCAGATTAAGAGGAAACATTCCGCTGTTGTAGACCAATATTCAAGAAAATGCACAACATATGCATGCTTCTTGCATAAAACAAGCGTAATAAAAAATAGATAGCCAATTTAAAAGAAGTATGACTAAAAATTCTTGAAATTAAATCATCAGATATTAAGAAGCTATGAAAAATTTCTTATTAATAATAATTTATTGTTTCGTAGGGACAAGTCCTGGTGAGTGGAGAAGAAATGGAAGAAACCGATATTGTTGCAAAAAATGGTCGCATTTATACCCTTGCAGGAGTCCTTATCCCACCCACAATTGTTCCAATTCTACCACATCGGTGTGATGAGACAAGAAGTCAAGTCGCAACGGTAAGAGAATCACAACAAATCAATAGCTCTTCACTGCTCCATATAATGCGCTCCAGCTTCCTCTTACTGCTTTCTCTGATATTGTCCATAAAAAGGGGGTATTTTTGGAAATTAATATATCAATGACATACAGCCTCCTAGCTAGCAGTACTGCACAAATACAAATAATCTGTAAATGGGGAACTCATATGAGAACATCCTATACCAGTTTAACTCATCTAATTCTTGCAGTAGCCCTTTTAAATATGTTGTCTCTCTGGTCAAACTTTTTCCTCCAGTTCTGAATCCCACCTGTGCATATAAGTACATGGTAATTAGTGTCAGGTTCCCAGGGAAACTATTTTGGATCAGCATTTTCATTTCTACTAAATATGCAGGGAAAGGAGCCAGCAGGTTAAAATATTAACATAATAATTAATTTTATATTAATACATTAGAAATACGTTCTTTTCAGAAGCCACAATTTCCCCTAGCCCTGTTTTCTTCCAGTTTTCTTCAAATTAGGAATTACAACACTGTTTCATATTTCAAAGGGTGGATTTTGACATACGTTGGTAACACAGTACAGGCCTTTACACTTGGTAACATTCAGATAGTATTTCTGGTAAGAAGACTGAGTGTCAGACTGAGCTTTTAGCTTGCAGTAAGCATGGCTTCAATGAGCTGTTACTGGACCGTGTTCAAGCACGTCTCTGGGCCAGTAACAGTTCCGGTACAGTAATGCAAAACATTTACTATCTTAACTTATAACGGTCCAGAACCATAGCCTTGAAAAAGGTTCCCAGCAGAGCTGGACAGCATCCAAATTTAATGAAGAAAACATAAGAGCTGGCACTAAAGAACTATTACCTCTGGCAGTAACTACAAAGTGTCATATGTGCAACATAATCATAAACCAGGCAGAGCACCGAGCTGCAATCTCCAATACAAAAAGTGATCAACACCTTACAAATTCAAATTACGCTCCAGCTACCAAGGAGAATACCAGAGGGAGCAGTGGCTTTGCTGTTCTAACATGCCATCGTGCATCTTCATCACTCTCAGAAAACGAGAGCAATGCCACCTTGTAAATACTACTTGTGATACCAGGGAAAAGTGACAGAACTTGTAGGAACTGGCAGTTGTACACACCTAACAAGAACTGTACATCCCTAAAGATGAAACCATTATGCTAACACACACATATCCATGTAACTGTACCTGGATGCTGGTAATAACCGCAGGACTCGGTGTCTTGCTCCACCTCCTCCCAGAGGGCATCACTCCCAAAGCAGACTTGGTGGAAGAGAATATAGATCTCTGCTTCAGACACTTCGGTGCAAAGACAGCATCTTTATCTACTGCTGAAAATGGGCAGACTGGACCTTGCGTGGAAGTGCAGACACATTTCCCTGTCCCCCCTCTGCGGCGTGGCAGAGGGGAGAGGCAAGACTCCCGTCCTCAGGAAAAGGAGGAAGCAGGTACATGTCAATGGCTGAGACCATCCCAGGTGGAGAAAGGGAGCAAATAGGTGACACTGAGTGGCACTGAGCAGCAGGGAGAGCAATGCCAACAGTGGGAAACATAGCAATCAGCCAGATTTTTAAGTTTTTAAGGAGCAAAGAGGCACTTGCAGGGATTTTCAGAAACGCAAAGAAAGCTAAGAGCCTAAGTCAACTTCAGTCATGACCACACAGCTTATCAAAGAGCTTTTGTAACGCCCAAATGTGTTTGCCAAAATACATCTGACCCACAGACCTTTAAAACATAGTAGTGGCATTGGTACCTCAACTATTTGATACCCAAATGCTTTTGTAAGTCTGGTCCTTTATTCCTTTAAGTGTTGTGCAACACGAGGGACTACTAAGTCCAAACCAGTACCTGATTCTTTCCCCACAGCTCCAGTGATAAATCTGTGAGGAAAATGGCATAATTCAGGTTTGTGGTCACTTGTCCACTGATTGTGAAACGCAGCGAAGTAACACATTGCATGCCGGCCCTAGGATTTATTCTAACTTGGTTGAAACGCAAGACATTAGCAGTCACGAACAACACAGCCTTGACAAACTCCATGTCCACACACTGAAAGGCTCAACCTCTCTGAAGTTATTGCATGTTGAGCCTGTCAGAGGACTCACCTTTAAAACCGGAGTTTGTATCTCCTCAGTGCTGTAATTGCCAGTCTCTGTCACCACCACATGGCAATAAATTAGCTACTGGGGAAAGGCAACCGAAAGGTGAAGACATAAAAATAGTTATACACCTCTGGATCATAGCAGAGTACAGGATCTATGACATGGAAGCAAAGAATATTTTTCTCTCCACTGCCTATACACAAGACAAATTTCTGTTCACGCTGTCTTTATATGAGACTCAACTAATTTGTGGTCTTCCTAGGAAGAAATTAAAAGTTAAGTGTACAGACTGCACCAGACCCTCAGACAATATTAGTTAATATATTATATCGGGTTGAGCAAACAACGCCAGTGCATTCATGCCCATGCTTATCTTCTGTTTAGGAAGCTGCCAGTTCTTTAAAAGAAGGGAGTGGGGGAAGGACAAATGAAGATAAAAAGGGGAAGGTGGAAATGAACAACCACTCAGCAAAAATCAGAGCCAGCGGATATAGCCCTGGTGCTGCTGTTGGGTTCCAGATTCATGCTGTGACAGTTAAAAGTCATAGAATAGACGTACTTAAAATTTACAGGGTATATCATCCATAAGTATGCATCTCAGTAGTTGGTATAATGCCTTTTGAACTGACTATCCTTATTGTTTCCATCTAGAGTGTCTGTGCAAGTTGTTTATCGCATGCATTGGCTCCCTGTCCGCAGGATTCAAAGCCCATCGTAAGTGACATTTTCTGACAGATTCCTCAGTTGTACAAAATGCATAGAGGGAAGGGGTCCCTATACGTTGATTACTGCTCTCCCAATATAGTGAGCAAAAGAACCAGATGTGAATACAGGAGACTGCATAAAAATACAAATACAGACGGTACTTTAGTCTCTTTTTGGCAATGATTGAAGCATCAAGTTATTTCAGCATTATTTTGTTTGCTGTTGCAAGATCCCTTGTAGACTTCATAGAAGTTCTGACTCTTTTCTCAGGTAAAGTAAGATCTATTTAGGATAGACTTCAGTAGAAGAGAGAGCTGAGGATGAGAATTGCCACAATTATGCTTTGAGAGTTAGTAAACGAAAAAGAGGAGGGATACATTTAAAATAGACCTCACATCTGTTAAAAATTTCCTTTTGATTAAGCATCCTCCCAGAAGTAACTGTCTGCAGAAGTAGCTTCAGAAAGGATTGAAAATCTTCCATCTGCTTTGCATCTAAGAGATGCAAATCTGGCTGCGTGTTTCTCCACATACAAAACTCAAGTCTAGCTACCACAGGAATTTTATTCCCCATGTTATAAAAATTCACTGGTAGTTAGTCCTATATGCCATATTCAGCAATAGATATGCCATTATTCAGTAATAATGAAAAGAAAGCTCATATTATGAAAAAATACATAATTTAATAAACTCTGGCAAGGTGCTTTCTGTTCTCCAGTTAAATAATGTTGCGATATTAAGACTGTACCAAGAACTGTACATTGCTTAGAAATACTAATCCTTCCATTTTGTGCATGTTCCAGCCTTTCTCAAAACGGAGATGCATTATTGAAGGCCCAACCTTTCAAAAAACCGGCTGTGCTAGATCCTGCAATATAACAACAAAGGTACAGAGTTACGGTTTCTTAAGGTGAAACATATATAAAAGTTTTCCAAAATATTATCTTTTGCATTGTGAACTTTCCATTTGGAGTTGAGATATGTTTGGAGATGTCCATGTAGTTTCCATACCCTTCTACAGGGGGCTGAGAGGAGCTACTGTAAATCTTAGAGCAAAGTACCAGGCAAATTCCAGTGAGGTTTTTTAGCTGTCATACGTTATTGACAACAATGCTCTCATACTCTGTAACTCAGGAGTTTTCACATAAGACTCCAAGCCCAAAGGTTGTCATTGCCCCATACAGCTCCACCCGTGAAGAACAGGACAGCCTGTTCACCCCTGGTCCCAGCCCCTCCTGTCCCAGGACTTCACACGATATTGGGTAACAATGAACGGGAAACACTCCCGAGAACTGCGCTCCACTTGCTCTGCTTGGCAAGCCTACTCCTTGCAGAACTCGTTAGCTCCTGGGAAGTACTTACACCTTTCTGGCTCCTGAGGCTCCTAAATAGGCTTCTGCATTTCATGACCACCATTAAGTAACAAGCAGAGAAGTCTACAAATCCGTAAGCTTTGAGAGCCTTTTGCTAATTCCTATTTCCCTTGAATCACACATGTAAACAAGGTTTTTTTCTAATACGCTTTCTGTGCTCTTGATAAATAAATGGATCAAGGCAGCCAATTCATGATTAAAACAAAAGATGCAGCCAAGAAAAACATTTAGGGCTGCGTAGTGGCTAAATCCCATACTGGTGCAGAGGGGAAGGAGGAAGATCAAAGCAGCATGTCTAGCTTCCACAGCATCTCTCTGGGGCAAAACGTATCTTCGAGTTCCTGATCTCAGATGCAGAGGAGACTGCCTGCCTCCGGACCATACTGCACTCCCACAGGCAGATATGAGAGCGCACACAATATGAGCAGGAACACACAGGCACGTTCGTAACTGGTGACAGGACGGGGATTTCTAACACTGATGGGTCTGATAAGAACAAGGGAAGGATCTGGTGGTCTGTGCATCCCCTTCCTGGGCTGCCAACACCCCTCCTGGTTTTAACAAGGCCATTGCAGAGGTGGTTCTGGTTCAACACAAGTCTTGTAGGAGCCAGCTACCCCTACAGGCCTTTGCCAGAGGGCCAAAACACGATGAAGAGTTGTCTTTTGCGCACTGCCTCCACAGTAAGGCGCTGGAAAAGAGGATATTTGCTTTATTTCATAGGAACCAAAGTGTTGCAAAGGCTTCTTTGGCCCTGACTGCAGCCCGTGTCCAGGAGGTTTCTCCAAACCCTGCTCAGGAAACGGGCAGGTAAGCAGAGCATCCGGCAGCACCCTGCACTCCCACGGGGGGGAAGGACAGGCTGTGTCCCAAAAGTCCCTGAAGCACTCCTGCACAACAGGAATGTTAGGTTCCACAAGAGCTGCACCCTGCATTTATGTCCAGTGATGGCCGTGAATTTCAGGTTCAGTTATACGGAGAAGGGAAAATGAATCGGTCTCCTCTCAGATGTCCAGTTGCAGGTTTCTGTGGTGCCAACACACAGCACACAGGCAAGGCTGAGGCTGCGTGACCCACTTTGATATTTTACTTTGCACAGCACAGGGTAATGACCCAGCTCACTATTCTCACTTTAAAATTGCAAAGAAATGTAGAATACGCAGCAGCAAAGTACAAGCACAAGGAAAGCTTTTGCTTTGAAACACCTTTTTCGTCAAAGCTGAGGTTCTTCCTGGTAGTCTGTCACAGTCATAATATGGACAGACACATAGTCTCTTCTCTGGGGGAAGGATAAAGATTTACGATTTATTTCAATTTATACATAGAAATCACCTCTCTCCCATATCACAGTGCATGGATGGCCTGGGTGGAAATGGGACCTGCATTTGTGCTGAGGCATTTCAAGGCTCACGCTGTCAGTTCTGCTCAGACCCTGGCAAATACGGACCTCAGTGTGACAAAGGTAAGTACAGCCGTACTTCCTCAGCCCAAGAGCATGGTCTATTTCTTTTGGACCCTAGTAACATGGAGGTAGGATTTAACTGCTCACTGAACAGTCTCTACAGAGGATGAGCAAGATCTCTCTGGGGTACTTTAATTTCTTACTTCAAAGGGATACATCATAAGCCCAGAGTCAGTGAAAATCTTCTCACTGACTTAATTCTTAATTCTCTGGATCGGGTCCAGAGGAGGGCAACGAAGCTGGTGAAGGGTCTAGAGAACAAGTCTTATGAGGAGCGGCTGAGGGAACTGGGGTTGTTTAGTCTGGAGAAGAGAAGGCTGAGGGGAGACCTCATCGCACTCTGCAACTACCTGAAAGGAGGTTGTAGCGAGGTGGGGGTTGGTCTCTTCTCCCAAGTAACCAGCGATAGGACGAGAGGAAATGGCCTCAAGTTGCGCCAGGGGAGGTTTAGATTGGGCATCAGGAAAAATTTCTTTACTGAAAGAGTGGTCAGGCCTTGGAACAGGCTGCCCAGGGAAGTGGTAGAGTCACCATCCCTGGAAGTATTTAAAAGACGTGTAGATGAGGCGCTTAGGGACATGGTTTAGTGGGCATGGTGGTGTTGGGTTGACGGTTGGACTTGATGATCTTAGCGGTCTTTTCCAACCTTAATGATTCTATGATTCTATGATTCTAACTGGGCTTTCTGCAGGGGCCATAGCTTGCTTTATATTAATTTATTGTTCTTTTCATTTCTGTCTCCCTCACATAAGTAATTGAAAAGAAAATCTTTGCAATTCCATTCCCATCTCATATTGCCCACAACAGAGCAGACTCTGCCTGCAATGACAAACACATGCAATCTAAGAACAACTAGATCTATAAAGAGATTGTGTTTAGGGCCACTTCATAATCATCTTTACTGAGTAATTTCTGATCTATTGAATAGCTTATAGTTCTAGCAGTCATCTTCTATATACTGACAGATTTAGTCCTGCTACGTCAAGCCGTACTACATTTGAGAGTCTACAGGATATACAACATCAAATATAAATATTCCCCATCTACAAAATCATTTTTAGTCTTTTTTGCTATGAAACAGCCTGTCATTCATGAAGCACAGCTCACTCGAAGTTACAGAGGTACATTGACAAAAACCAAAAGACAAATTCCGTAAGAAAGGGTGGTATTGCCTAAGCTCCAGTCCTGCCAAAGCAGCATGTGTTGGCTTAAGTAATCACTGGCACTTCTTGGGATTGCAGAAGGCTTACCTGCTATGTCCTTTGGGCACATTGCTGTGCCTCCCAGCAGCACTAATCAGCCCAGCCCCAGCAAAGTGCTGGTAGGTCTTGCTGCTGCTCTGTGTACTAGCCCAGCACTGTGCAATTTGTAGAATTGTGGACTCAGTATTAAAAGGCTTCCCGTATCACTGAAAATACACCAAAAGTTGTGCAATGAAATAACTTGAGCCTTAATAGCCTGGGACATAGTATTTTGTTCCTACTTCTCTGAAGTGCTTTGACTTTCATTGATAGAGAAGTGCACTATAAACACAGAATAGATTTTAAATAGTTATCCATAAAACACATCTGAAAAGACATGGATATGATAAATAAACAATAAGTCCCCCAACAAAGTGAGACATTAAAAATACAAAAGTTTGATTCTAGAAAAAAAGTGGGACCCAATTCATAAGAAATGCTATGTAAGGATAGATGTCTTTTACCACTATGGAACTGCACATTGTAATTTATCTCTGGTAGATTGCCTCTGCATTTATGGGAAGTGCGATAACCGAATAGACAGCGTCGGGTTCTGTCTTCCTGGATCATGCAGAAGTGGATACATGGGGAAACTCTGTGACAAGCAGATTGTTCCCTGCGAGCCCTTCCTACGGCTCTGCCATGCACACGCAGACTGTCAGCTTAACGATGGTGCAGTGAGGTAAGTCAGTAACTTGCATCTAATCAATGCTATGATGCAGTTCTTTCCTATTTGCTTGATCAAAACAGCGCCTTGTAGCAGCACACAAACATCAGCCACTGAAATACTGCTGTGCAGCAAATAAGCATAAACATGCATCGCATCGACTCTGAGTTGCAAGATAGTAATTAAGGGTTCTCAATGCCCTACCCTGTACCTTATATTTAACACTGATAAGATAGATGCGTACGGATATGAGCCTTGTTCAGAAGGCTGCCTTCCTACCAACATCTACAAAGGCTCTTAGGAACCTCTTATTTCTAACCATTCCTTAGCGAAGTTTGAACCTTGTTGAAAAACAATGAAACTCTCAAGCAGTTTGGGGATAGATAGCTCACTCCGGTCAGCTCAGGTAAGGTTTGTATGTCGCAACACCGCAGACTTCAGCACAGGCTCTCCAGTCCTGACAGGACTGGTCACAAAACTCTGTTACTGCTGCAGCTGCCTTGCGCTTGCCTCACGCTCACCTTCAGATGCAGCAAGTTTGCCTCTTGCCGCAGTGTATCCATAATGAGTCACCACTGAAAGCAGAATGTGGGATGCTGCGTAACTTGAGTGTTTAAGAAATTCCCTCCAACGTAGGTTAATCTTGGGGGGTACTCAGGGAAACATTGTCTTGCGTGCATTTCAGGGAGAGAGCTATCTTCCGTGTCACTGAAAGAAAGAGCAACCCCAGCTCTTAATTAATTTAGAGCTATTAGCTCACCTTTGCAAAGATCACATCAGGCAGAATTAATTTCACTCCCCATCTCATTCACAGAGAATGGATCCCTAATTTGACTTAACTAACCCAGTCAATATTTTGAAAAAAAAACCATAATGTGTGCACTTAAGCTATTTGCATCTTGAATCCAAGGTTACCAATTTTAAGCTGCCTACAAATAGCACGTTACAGTGGAAAACAATCACTTCACTTTGCAGCCATCCTATCATGTTTAATGCCTCCCTCCTCCTCTTGTCTCTATAGCTGTGTTTGCAAACCTGGCTATGAGGGAGACGGCATGAGCTGCAGCAAAGTTGATCCTTGTGCTGCTTTAAACCCAGGTGGCTGTAACTTCAATGTAAGTATATGCTTTTCCCACAGAGCCTCACACCACAGAAAAGTAGGCAGTAAAGAAGGTTTGGCCAGAAACTTTTGCAGAAGGAAGAGTCACAATTTTCACTGCAGTTTCAAGCCCTTTCCCCCCCAATAGCGGCATCGCTATTGCTTAGACAAGCCTTACACCTAAAGCCAGATGCCACCTAACTGTCCTGAATGCATGCCTCTGCATCCCTCCCAGGCCGAGTGCATTCAGACGGGCCCGGGAGAGCACACGTGCGTTTGCCAGGCGGGATGGACAGGCGACGGAAGGGACTGCTCAGCCATCAACAACTGCCTGCTGCCCGCCGTGGCAGGGTGCCATGAAAATGCCACTTGCATATACGTTGGGCCGGGTCAGGTACTTCCTCTCACATTCATTGCCACCTTCGACACTAGTCCTCACTCATTTTGCTCTGCCGGTGCTTCCTACCCTGTTTTCTTCCCCAAATTCTCCTCTCCCTCCCAGCTACAAGGTTATTTCCACACGGCGCTCTCTACCCAGAACAGTCTCCTTCAGTTTCTATCCCAGTACTCCCTCCCTCCTACATGGCGGTGTTCTGGCAGCAAATACTTTTTAGTAAGTACATTAGTAGATGTCAGGTATAAAGGTCTTCTGGAGATATTAATCAGTGTCATTCCACTGAAGTCAATGGAGCTACATAGAAACACAGAAAGACTAATTCACCACGTCTACAATATGCACACTATTTTAATCATTTTAATGAATTGCTGTGTTTTATTGAAAAAACAGAATGACTGCAGGTGTAACGATGGATTTCGGGGGAACGGAATTGAATGCACATCCATAAACTCATGCCTGGAACAAAATGGAAAATGCCATCATCTGGTGAGTAATTAATCATTCCCTGAACAAAGTGTTCAGATACATATCACACCTCACCTCCTGCGCACAAGATGGAGTTTCTTTGCCACTTCAAGCCTGCAATTTCTGTTTGAGTTGGAACAAAGCTTTCTAAGCAGTGCTACAAGCACCAAAAATGCTGTGTGAACCACGTCAGTATGGTACGTGTGCTGAGGACAGACAGAAGGGCTGCTCCCATTTCTGCCTGTACAGAAGGACCATCTCAAGCCTGGAGTAAATAAATGCTGCTTCTCTACCAGCAATTACAATTTGGATGCAATAGTCTGTTGAGGTTTTTACTCAAGTCATCTCTACGCAGGCATCTATCAGCTTTATCAGTAGCTGCATGCGTTCAGCAGACCTGCAGGCTCTGCTGTGCGCTGTAGTGCCTGCAAGAGCCACACCAGCCTCAGGCTAAAGAAAAGAGCATGGGGGAGCGGAGGATAGGTCTGCCGTAGTCAGGTGAAGGAACAGGGCCCAGTTTATGTAGGGAGGAAGTAAGAAAGGGTGGAGCAAAGGTTTAGTCTCCTCAACTTAGTGCATGGTGGGTAGGTGAGGGAGGTAGTGCCCTCAGCTGGTGGAGTTTGTCCTATAGGAGGGTGAGGACATCCACGGAAGAAGGTATGAAGATCCTTTGTTAAGGTTATGTCTGTATATGAATGTGTATCAGGAAGAGGGTTTACAGGCCATCCTTGCTCTTGAGTGGTTCTCCTGACCACTATTTGACAAGTTCTCTCTTTCTGGTTCAAAGGCAACTTGTCAGTTTGAGTCTTCACGTGGCTGGCAGTGTGTGTGCCCAAAAGGCTACGAAGGAGATGGTAGAATATGCTATGGAAATGCTGCAGATGTAAGTAATATGGTCATCTTCTCTGAGCACAGGACCTACTGCACAGTTCTCACACTGGATCTTAACCAGAGAGATAGCAAAGCCATTATAAACAGTTAGAAAAATATGATGCCCACCAGTGCTATCTGCAGACAGTGTTCCTGCTGGAGACTCTTGCCTGGTACAAAAATGATCTGTTGTGTTTAAAAACATAGCTTGGAAAGCGGCCTAAGGGATCCTAGCATATTTCTTTAAGACAAATTGAAAAATGCCAGCCCCAGAGGCCTAACATGCAGAAGTGTCAGCACTCACCTCCCAGCTGGGAGCAGCGAGCACCCAGCTCTTCTGAAGTTCTGCCTTGAGGTCTCTCTCAATGGAAACGGCCAATTTATCATGTTAAAACAAACCATGCTGACTGGCAGGGAAATAAAACCAAAGCAAGTAAATTGGTGAAATAAATATGCATTTAATAGCATATGAAAAATGAAAGTGTCAGCTGTCCCAGCCATTGACAATAATCTTACGTGGCTCTTAGCACTATCTGCCATCTTTGCTCACACCATCATCTCTCTCTGTTTGAAGTACTGTGGCAGAATAAAGGCTCTCCACTTGCAGGATGACATGCAAGATGCTGTACAAACACCAAGCAAAGCAACATACCTTTTTTCAATTAATTTTGCATCGAAGAAAAGATTTAGGTTTACATTCCCAGAAAATTAACGCGTAGCCTGAGGTCAGTACACATTATGTACCAAGGTCAGGCACACCTAATACACCTAAGCAATAGATGGCCTGACTTTCAAAAGAGTTGGTAACTCACCATTCCCATTACCAGCAAGTATCAGTACTAGAAAAACATGAACGTCCTCCCTTTTCACACATACTGAAAACCTCCTCCTCCATGATACATCAGCCAGGCCAGACACAGCCGATTACACCACAGGCTACAGCAAGAGTACTTTGGTACAGCTAATTATAGCTTGCATACTCATTGCTCTCTCTTTCTCTTTCTAATCAGGAGTTATCTACTCTGTCAGAAGCAGCTGCATTTAACCAATGGGTTAATGTAAGTACACTTCATGGTTGATTTTTTTAGTATGTTCAAGTTTGCAGAAATACATGAGCCCTTTAGCCTTTAGAAATGGGAACCTCACAGCAACATTCCCATCAAACAGCAGAGGCTCAAGCTCTGGAGAGGCATCAGAGTGCCTCTCCCACCAGTCACGGCAAGGCTGATCATCTGGTTCCCTATTTCTGCCTGATAACCAAATTCAGATCCCAAATTCAGGCAAGTGAGGAAGCTCCACAAGCAGAAGAGCAAGCTACAAACCCATTCTCTGAGGCAGGGGGCTACATAAGCCATGACTCACTCTGCAAACAAATACACCACAGTCCAGACGACCAGCAGCAGAGTACAAGCAGAGCCTGAATATGCGCCCAAGTGGCTCCTTCCAAATTCCCTCATGCAATAAAACTACAAGTAAGTGGAGAGGGAAGGCAATGCCTTACCCTCCCCATTTTCACTGAGCCCCGTGCCAGGAAAACGCAACCGTATGGCTGGTCACAGCAAGCAGGAGGAAAAAACTCAGTCTGTGCGGGCTTGACTGAGTGCAGGAAATGAAGGAAGAGATTAGCTTGTTTGGCTTCAGATTAGGGAAGAAACAGCAATTTAGATGAAAAAAAAAAAAGTTCTAGATAAATTGATTGTCACTACTTTTTATTTTCATGTGCTATCATTTGTTGCTAGGGCAGCGGTAACATTAGAGGTCCTACCCCACTGTGGCTGGCACTGTATGAATAAAGATCAAAACCAGTTTCACCCACAAAGAGTTTAAAACCTAAATATAAGAAGTGTATAACAAATACATGGCAAACAGAAAGGAACAGGGATATGTTAATGAATAGCATCAGAAGCAGAAGTCACAGCATATTAGCTGCTTTCATGTTTTTCAAAGTTAGATGGCTTGAGGATCATTAAAGCATGCAAATTACAACAGGACCTCAGGGAGCTGCTTAAAAGAGAGGCCAGTGTGGCTAATTTAAACCAGTTATCTGCCTGGCCCTGGGCTCAGGCTGCAGCACTGGACACTGTAAAGAGAAACTAATGAAGTTAAAGAAATGAGCACAATAGGAAAGGCTGTTCACTTGCTAATGTGCTCTTTAGATAATGAAGCGGGGCGGGGCTGGTGGGTGGAAATCAGGGAGCAGATTCTGTATGATCCATTGAAACAGGGATATGGAAATTTCTGCTACACTTCAGAGAAATGGTATCCTTTAAATTAAATAATGGTAGCTACAAATATGAGCGAAATACGGAGGTATATCCATGGTGGGTGGAAATCAGGGAGCAGATTCTGTATGATCCATTGAAACAGGGATATGGAAATTTCTGCTACACTTCAGAGAAATGGTATCCTTTAAATTAAATAATGGTAGCTACAAATATGAGCGAAATACGGAGGTATATCCATCTGTG